CGATTCCTTTCTTACTTACAGTAACTTTCTTGAGTTTTTGCAATATACATAATTAGTCAAATATAGGTTTATATATATATATATATATATATAGGCTGGATTTAGAATTATTTATTAAGTCTTTTATTCCGATATTGATAAATTTGTTTATCATTCATGGCTTTTGATTATTGGACGAATCGAATTTGTGATTACTCTTGACGGTATAGATATATAATGCTGAAAAATACAGAAGTATTTCTAAAAAATATATTTTGTATGAACAATAAGTTGGTGACCTAAATATATTGTAACACACATATTTTATGTGCGCCTGACAAAATAAGACTGAGTCATGCTTCATTTTCCAAACTATGACATTGTATATATTTGATAGAACTGTAAAAAAGTAACTATCACTAATGTATTGATGAAGATATTTAAAACCGTGAGACAAGAGATAGTTATTTAATTATTTTTTCCTGAAAGACATTTAAAGTATTTCAAAAGCTTCGAAAGTAACAGATTAAATGTACCTGATAGCATCGAGAAGAACATAATATAATATAGATTGAATTGTTTTCTTTTAATTTCATTCAAAATTAAAAATTTGTCATAACCCATTATTAGTTATACGTTTTATTAAAAAGCTCAAATTTTGTTCAAATTTCTCTACATTTGAACCCGTTCTCTATAGCGCATATACTTAATTACTACCTAGTATAAAATGTGAATATATTGTATTAAAATAACATTACATATTTGGTTGTAGAGCTAAAATAGTATTTCAATCACATTTTATGATAATGATAATAGTAAAACGGTATTTATGAAAGCATGATCTATACACGCATTTTTTCGTTATGAAATAAGAAAGTAATATGTAAATTAATTAATAAATGGTATAACTAAATGCGGTTTATAAAATATAAGTAGTGACTACGAAGTCATTATATTTTTATAGTCGAGTTAAAACTGAAAAGGATTCAAGTACTTAATGTTTATAGTGTCATACATAATTAAAATTACATAAGTACCAATGGGTAAGTAAAAACCGGTATAATCAAATAAAACCAATGTCTACTTTAAATTTATCAACCAGGAAAAAATTAAACTAATTTTAGATGATAAAAATATAATTTTAATGTACTCATAAATCAATATATTTATTTATATAAGGTTCACATGGGTTAATATTATTTTAAAGATTAACAATAAGCCTTAAAAATTAAATAATACATGTAACCAAATATATTTTCTAGTAAACACGATAAAAGCATCAAAGGAGAAATCTATGGATAATTTTAGAACACTTTTATCAATTACAATATCAAAAAGTATTTATATGGCGTGTTAATTAACGTGTGCGTCTATAAATTATAATTCATTTAAAATTTACTAAAAGTTAGTTTGTTCATATTATTCATAGTTTTTATAATTAATTGTGAACTCGATAAATGAAAAATTAAAAATATTGTGTAGAATATCTTTAATAATAAATATAACTTCTGAATAAATTATTTTTGAATTTCATGTACATTTTTTTATATTTTGTTATTTTTTACCGATACTTATTTAAATATGAATATTTATTTTAATACCAACAATTAAGAAATTTTTTTTAGTAATTTATGTTCTAACAGTTAAAATTTCCGAGAACAATTAATCTCGTTATTTTAAATATAAGTATGTAAAATATTTTTATTAATTCATTACAAATTGCAATTAAAATGAACTGCTTATCTTCCGAGAAATAACTGTAAATACTATAAAAAAGCGTATATACTTTTATGCACATCAACTATAACGAATTTTATAACGGAAAAAGTATACATTCTGTCAATCAATTTTAAAAAATAGCTATTTTTGTTTTTATTATTAGACACTATAATGTAGTTATGACGAATTTTGAAAAAAAGGCTTATGAGCCTTTTAATAATAATACATATAAGTATTACATAAATGAGACTAAAAGCTATTGGTCTATCATATTGTATAGTGGTTTTTTTTAATTTTTAAATATTTTCAACAGTTTGAGAAAGTGTAAAATTACAATAATATTAAATTAATGTATAATTTAGATTACACTAGATTAAAGTTTTACATTATGACGGAGTTTGGGCAGGGTCATCCTCAGGAGGGGGAATGGAGCATCTGCCCCCCATGGTAATTTTATTTTTTCGAAATTTATTATTTATTATTTACATCATACTATTGAAATACATAAATGTGAATACATGTATGAAGTTCACCCTTCCCTCTATAAAAAGGTCTAAGGACGTCACTGAGTTCAGTGTTACGGTTGATGTCCTCTATTCGTATATTAAGAGGACGCCATGTGTTGTCTCCGTTTGACACACGCATAATATATCAAATTTATGTTTAATAGTTCAAATGTAGTGATATTAGAGTAAACTGACTTATAATCAAACTTTAAGAGATAAACATTATCTGTGTTTTGTTGGTTGGTTTTTTTCAATATTTTAATTTTTTAGTAAAATTTTGAGTTTTTTTTTAATTGTAATATTTTATATAGAACCTTATTACAGATTTAAAAATTAAAATATCGAAAAAAACCAACCAACAAAACACAGAAAATTTTTTTTCCCTAAAAGTTTGATGATAAGTCAGTTTACTCTAATATTAAAACTGACATCGCTACATTTGAACTATTAAACGTAAATTTGGTATATTGTACGTATGTCAAACGGAGACAACACATACGGAATAGCATCCTCTTAAAACATTTTATTAATATTTATAATGTTAGATTACAATTTTAGCTTGTATATGGGATTTAACACCATATATTCGTACATGAGATGTGCTGTTTTTCTTGTATTTATTGATGAATATTTAACATTTTTAATATCTTTACTCATTAAGTTACCTATGATATAATATGATGTTTACAGTTTTATTAAAATATTTATCGATCGCAGAAAACAATCGTAAATTAATGTTAAACAATCCAGTGCTCAGTGGCCTTCATTTGCGATGGATTATTTTGGGTTGTCTGGAAGAATTCTTTTTAAATTATATTGCGCTACACACTAAATGTAAACATAAAAAAAATTCGATTTCCCTTTTCTACCATCATCAATTATCATCAATCATTCTACGAGCTTGATAATTTATAACTCTGGATGGATCGATAACATGGCATTAAATCTTTTCTACAACGAAAAAATAAATAATTTTTGTAGGCGAGTAGTATAAGTATTATATAATATACTATCATTATACCCATTAGGTTTATTTGCTGCAATAATACATTACTGTCACCCTCACGGCATTCTCATCACGTTGTTCTAGTTAATCTTGAAAAAAAAATTTACATATTTTTAATATGTAGGTATTGTTTAAGTTTTAAAATATTTCGATAAATCAACAGCTTAGTATCAAACTTATACATTCTGTATTTTGAAATATTTTTAGCAATAAGTTAATCATAATATGATTTTTATTAATTAATTTATTATTTTAATTAATTTTATTAATTATTTGTATATTATACAAATATACTTTATGCGAATTATTCGCTTGTCACAACAACAATACGATAACCTATTTAAAAACGTTCTATCAACGTATTTTACTCGTAAAGATTTGACGTCTGAACCAAACTTGTTACTTGTTTACGAACCGTTTCTCCGAAGAAGTCTACCTACTTAGGTAGTTTCCTCTGTTCTGATTTTTGGAGCAAGAGCACGCATTCAACGTATGCGAAGGTCAAGAAAATCCGTGGTCACGGCGAAATATGATCGCTTTCACTTGATCGTGGACTGCACACTCGCTGTTGAAGTTTCGATTAATTGAAAAATGATTACTCCTAACGAAATCGATTTAGCAATAATCATACATCATACACATCATTATATCCAAAATGTTATCGTGAATGACTTGAACGATATATATATTTGAGGCGATGAAAATAAAAACGTGAATAATTGTATGTGTGACCACATTACCGTGAATAAAATATTCGTATTACACTGTGACACTTTGTGTAGGCAATTAATTTTTGATGATTTAGTGATTTTTACGCAATACAATTTTTATTTTTCAACACGATTTTAAACTTTTAACTTGTGGTAAATTATATAAGAAATATAATTGTTTGTTTTTATAATTCCATACAGTTTAGTATTTGAATATTTCATTGAAGTCCGACAACATTTTGATATGTAGGTCAATTAATTATACATCGATCAATCAAATTGACTTTAGCCAAGTGACATGCCATAAACTTTGATATTATTTCTATTTTAATATTACTATTAGGTTATAATAGAGCAATCGAAGTGATTTAATTGTTAAAAACAGATAGAAATATTTAATAATCAAAGCTGATGCATTAAGTGCTGTAAAAAAAAGGTATAATTATCAATCAATCAAAACCTTCTGGTTTAATACTGTTGTCTGATAACGTGATATCATTTACATTATCTTTCATTTTTAATTTGCTTAGGCAGTTATAAATAAATTATCTATTTTGTATTAATATCTCATATTAATGTTTACAGAAGTTTTTTCTTTTAAGTGCATATAAAAGATGAAATTTATACTCTTTAAATGCGAAAACTTTACCATAGAAGTACGTTGTCCAACTTTTTTTATTCTCCTGGCTAAAAATAGAAATGTATCTTACCACATAAGTGTACTAACTTGTTATACAGTGTATTGATATGTTTACAGTATATAGATAGTAGTAACATCTATTTTTTATTGTATTTAGATGTTTACAGTATAAAATTTTTTTAAAACATTTATGGACTACAAGTTAAGCAACGCTGCCTTATAATGTACATCTTCTTCTTCTCAGGCTTATATAGACAATTTTGCGGCTTTCATAGTTCCTCTTCAATAGTTTCTGTTCTTGGAATGTAGATGGTTATATATTATTTAAATAAGTTCTTTGGAAGTGAGGAAGATTAACTACGACAGAAATTAGTATTTGCATAATGTTATATTAAATATTTATAAACAAAAATAATAAAATAAAATAAAATATATAAAGTTATAATATGAGTATGTAACAAATATATATATTTTTTTATAAATCATAATTTAGAAAATGTAGGTTTTTTATCTTTTGTTGCTGCAGCCATTGCCGCTTTAATAAAATCTTCACTTTGTAATAATATTTGATTCCAATCTGCCTGTAAATTAAATTAAATTAAAAAATGGATACATGCATTATATTTATTAAGTTCATAAATTTATTTAACAATAAAGAAAAAGCTGATTGAAATATGCTTTAGGATTATTTGTTGAATTATATAAGTAAAATAAAGTAAGATTTGACTTTATAACTTTAAAAAGTTCTCATAGATTATTAATATTGAATAAAAATATTTTAACAAGGATATTTACTACTTGTAAGTTTCCATCTATAATAGTTTTATAGTTTTATTGTGAAGATATACTTAATATACAATAACAGAAATAATACATACTCTCCAATATTTTTTTTGTGTGTATACATTTTCGTAGAAAGTTACATGCCAAGATAAAATATGATAACAACAAGAGAAATGGTACTTAAAATTATTGAATTAATTTTTAATTTGGTAGTTAATATATTTGGATTAAAATCAAGTTTAATTAAAAAAAAAAGAAAGAATAGGATAGCTATTTATATTTACTCGGAAATTATATTTTATTATTAGTTAACTTACAATATGATCTAATCCCTCTTGAACTGTATGATCACGTGAGTATATTACGCTTCTTTTAGTCATTTGAATACCAACTGGACTTTTATTAGCTATATCTGAAGCAATATTCATAACATTTTCAAGTAAGCTAAAAACAAATTAGACCATATACTACAATTTAGTTGATAATTTTAACTATTACTATTTTAAAAATAATATTATTAAATATTTAAATCTACCTCTCTTTGGTATCATAAACTTGACTCACAAAACCAATATTTTTGGCTTCAGAAGAATTAAATTTACGAGCAGTAAATGCTAATTCATTAAATGTACTAGTACTTCCTATAATTTTTTGCATTCTTTGTAATGTACCAACATCAGCAGCCATTCCTAATAAAAAATATATATATTAATAATAAACAATTAAATACATTTTTTTAACAAATTTCAACTTTTTTTTATTTATTTGTATATTTTGCTTTTTTTTCAAAATAACTTTTCCTTAGTTTTTTTAAGTTAAAATTGAAAATATTTGTTGATTTGATCCTATAATTATTTTTATAATAATTTAGCAATTAAGGTATAATTATTTAAACATTTTTACCAATTTCAGTTTCTTTTAGTTGAAACCATGCATCTTTTGTACAGTATCGCATATCTGTAGTTGAAACTAGATCAACACCACCGCCAATACATGCATTATGAATAGCTGCCAAGACTGGTTTATCACACTAAAAAATTGTTATTATTATCTATAATTATGAAAATATGTAGTTATTTTGTAGAATTTTAATAAGTAATTATGTATACACTTTATTTTAAAACAGAATTTAAGCACCAATTTTAAAATACGCAATCATTTTTTAGTTAGTTGAAGTCAGCTATAAAGTTTTATAAGTCATTATTCTTTAATATAATTATACTTTAAAGAAAACTATGCAGTTACAGTGTATCTGCAAATCATAATATTAAATAAAATAATTTTATTTACTTTTTCAATTGCAGTAATACAATCTTGATATGTTTTAATGAATTTCCGCAATACTTTAATTTTTCTAGCAATGTCATCATGGTTTGCTAATTCTTCTCCAAGAGTCATAATATCAAATAAATCGATTCCTATTTAAAAGTAAAAATATATAATTGTTTTATCAATTTAAATTTATATTCAAGAAACTATAATTAGTATTTAATTCTAAAATTAACATTTTAGCATTAAAAGTAAAAATTAAATTTAAAACTAAAAAGTTTCAAACTGTTTGTACCGTTTACAAAATGAAGTCAACGAGTTTAGATCTAATTTGTCTAGCGTATAATTATTTACGAGTATAAGATTATGACAAAAATTTATTTATTTATTAATTTAATATTTAATAAATTTATTATTTAAATGAATCAAAAAAAATGTTGGAGAAAGTGTTATTTATATTATAATAATTTATATCAATCATAAAATTTAAATAAAAATATAATTTTAAATTTAAATTATATACATATTTACCTGAAGTAAAATATTTTCCTTCAGCTGAAAGAACAATGGCTCGACAATCAGGGTTTTCATGTAACTCATTAAAACATTTTCCAATTTCCCTAAATGTATTTTGATAAAATAAATTATCATGAGAATCTACTTCTTATAAATAATAAATATAAACTCAATAATTGCTAAATATTATTTTATTTTATATTATATATTACCTGAAAAAAAAGCAGTAATTATTTATATTTAAAAAAGTATTGTTTTTTCGTATATTACTATTATTTGTATGAAAATAAATAAATTAGTCAAAGATTGCAGAAGTATCACTAATAGATAGCTTCTCTTAACAAACTTCTTAAATGGTCATTATAAACTTTATTATATTCTCTTATTATAAACATTATTATAGATTAAGTAATAAAAGTTCAAGATGACATGCTATTATTTTTATTTATTAATATTATTAACCTTAATAGTTTTTAAGTATTTATTAGCGATCTTTGAATTATTTGGTAAATTTACTATGTACCTACTATATATACATACATATATATATATAATAACTATTTTCAGATTATAATGGAATAAAAATACTAGTTTTATTTTATAGAACAATAAAACCAGTATTTAACTAAAATAACTAAATGATAAAAATGTTAATAATTTTACTTACAACCACATAGGAGTGTTCATTGCATTTGCTTTGTCAGGTCTATTTAATTGTACATTAAAAACAAATTCTTTAGGACTATCAATTTTCAATGTTTGATATTGAGCAATTGAATGCATTTTAGATGCTATTGATAAATCTATATCGATTCAAAAACCACGAAAAAATAATTTATAAAATATGAGTTAAGTTTAATGATCACAAATTAGATGTATAATAAATTTTTACTTCGGACACACAACAATCCTTTGTGAATTACAGAATTACCTAAAAACATATTATGATCGTTTTACAAAAAATAAATAGGTAAATATAAATGATTATAATTTAAAAAATTAATTTTTTTTTGATATTTCAATAGTTATAATGATTTTATAACAATACAAATTTAAAATAATTATAGTTTATAATAATTTTTACAATTATTTATACGTTATTGCATAAGAACTCGAGAATGGCGATTATCTGTAACTGCAACTACATAACGACAAAGTAAAACGGAAGTACATAAAAATGATATTCGTTATTCAGTGTGTTCAATGATCATTATAGCCATCTAGATGACCTAATCGCTCTAGCCAATATTGTGATAACTTTATCACTTTATTTTACACATTTTTCTGATATAATATCATATGATTTTCACAGATATAGATATTAATATTATATTATAAATATAAATATTATTATCTATATCTGAGGAATACCGCAAGATATATTAATAAATAGTTGAATAAAATTAAAATATTACATTTTAATAAAAACAATAAGATAATTATTGAAATAATTGTTTAAAATTATTTAAAATTTCTGTATAAATTGGAATTACAATTTGTAGATGAAATGCAATCTGTTATTATAGTGATAACAACCTTACTTACTGATAAATAGTAAATAAAATATTCTGTTTATCAAATAACTTCACTATTTCATATTTTGTTATTTTTACTTGCTAAATTGTTTATAATTTTTACAAGAAAAGTTATTCTGTGTATAAAAAATAAAAAGGTGAGTTGGAGATATTTTTAGAAATATCATTTACTCTCTAAAAATTGTCATATTCAGTAATTAACAAATAATTTTCTTCTTGAGTTCAAATAAATGTTTATTATTTCATTAGTTGGTACTAATAAATCACACTAGTTAGAAAAGGTATTGAAGGAATGACTTCAATTGAATTGATGATTATAGATACATCCTGAGTCACATATTTTATGAAATTGAGATATTAGTAAAAATGTATACTACTAGTTTGTTTTTACACTCAATGCACTCGTGATGTTTCTGAAATCATAGATTCAGTTAAACCTTTAATTATAAGCTATCAAAAATCAAGTGTCTTTTTTTTTTAAAAATTTTAAAAAGTACATAGCCTTGCTAAAGTATAAAAATTATAAATACTCTTAAAAGCATGGTCCAACTTAATAAGAAAATATATTTATTTTTTCAGATTTCATGATTTGCAATGACTCATAGAAAAAAGTCATTAAATAATAAAATTATGCAGGAAGAAGAATTATCTGAAAGTGATGATTACCTAATATCCGTTTTGGGTGTGATTAACGGTTATTGTAAAGTTAATTTAGTGGTACCGCAAACTAGTACATTTTACTCTAGTCAAAGTTTATTACCAATTAATGCCAATGTTAATGATATCATATTTAATAATAAAATTCAGAAAAGTAAAATAAATAATTCACCTGATATCATTGCCGATATGTTGAAAAATGTCAACTTCAAAACTGATAATACAATAGACGACAAAAGTTTGTCTGATAAAACATCTATAAATGATTTTCAAATTTATTCAAAACCATCTTATTCTAATAACATTAACAACTTAGGTAAAAAAGAAAATACTAAAAGAAGTATATCGCCTAAGAGTAGAAAAAAAAAAAATAAATATAGTAAAGTAGATACAGCTTCATCTTCAACATCTGATATTCATACTCATTCAGCACTTTCAGATATTTCGGATCAAAGTTCCCCTACTGATTATCATAATCAATACGACAGTAAGAGATCAGATGAAGGATTACACTGCATACAAGATCAAGTAAATTTAGCGTTTTTAATTAATATGTAATTAATTTTGTAAAAAATTAGAATTTTTTTTCCTTTAAAAATGTATTAATTTGAATGGTATTATGTATATTTGTCATCTTCTATGATTATATGTTTCCAAAACTAATAAGGAAATCTTTAATTAAGGTTATAGAGGTTTAATAATTTTTTATTTCTTATTAATGTATTTTAAAATAAGTATTTTAATTTTATTTTTCTTTAAGGAACTTACAAATAAACAATTGAGAACTGTGAAAAATAGTATCAATAATATTCCATTAAGAAATCGACTATCACTCTCGGAATCAAACTCTGAGAATGAAATTCAAAATGACAAATTATCACCTCAATCTCAATGTCCTTTATGCTTTGGTTTATATCCTACACCAGATATTGAGGTAATTTGTTAAAAGTATTAAAATATTTATTTAAATACCTTTGCTAATAATTATTTAAGTACAAATACAAATGTATTCAAAAAGTATTTCAAATATTTTTAAATATATTTTTATTTTTTTTTATTGTCTGTAATAAATAATTTTAGGTTTATACAGAATTCTTTTATTCTTAAAAATTGTAAATGTAATTATATTTAAGTGATGTGATAATTTAAAATTTATACAGTTATACTATTTTAAAATTTATTACATTTAAGAAACATTTTTTCAAAATGGTCATCAGTTATTCGCTCTCTACGTTTTGTGAGTATAGCATAGCTTACACTAAAAATTATTTTTACAGAAGCACTGCTTGGTAACGGAGTGTTGTGTTCTATAAAAACTTTTTTAATGTTAGGTGTGTCTTCTAAGACCAATAAATTCTTCGTAGAGCTTTTATTCAAAAAACTTGATATTTCATTTTCAATGGAAATGTTAGAATTTGAATGAATTTTGGACCAAGAAAAAAATGAAGATGTCTCATCACCATTTTTATTAGTATTTTAAATATTTTCATCAATATAATTTTTCTCATAGTATCTTTAAATATTGTTTGTCGATAATAACATTCATAATCGACAACAAGCAATTTCTTCATAATCGATAAACCAAATTAAAAATTTTGTATTTAATATTTTTAAATACAAAATATAATAAAAAGTATTTGAAATATACTTGAAATACTTTTGTCCAAAAATATTTAAAATGTATTTAAAATACAGAAAAAGTATTTAAATATTTAGCAAGTATGACTATATGGGCGGACGCAGAAAAAAATTTTTTTTTGGGGGGGGGGTTGAAAAAATAAGAATAATTATCGTCAGGCCCGTATTTAAAAATTTGGCGCACCTTGGCATATTATTTTATTAGCCCCCCCACCAAAAAAAAAAAAAATAATAATAATAACAATAATATAACACATACTATTTCGTCCATAATGGGGATTCTTTATTATTAAAATATAACTTATAAATGAAAATCGTTTAATACTTTTTTCAATTAACAATTTAAAACAATTATAACATAATAAAACATACTATTTTCTTTCTTTTATTGTTTTATTTTTTTTTCATTTGGTACATCATTTTTAAAATTAATTTTGCTAAAATATTCTGCTGCCCCTGAGACTTGACGCCGTTATTTTGAAATAATTTACTATTGATTATAAATTGACTATTGTCGATTGTTATCACATGACTATACAACACAGAATTTAGGAAAATCCATCAATCATAATGTACCATTATAAATAATATTACTTATATTGATTACCTATATTTACTTATTTTTACTAACTGATAATAAGCGACTTACAAACACGCATTATTTTTACGAAATATTGCCATCATAGAATTTCAAAATTTTGAGTTTTAAGTACCAATAACTTTTAGAACGTTTAGAAAATTACAAATTCACTTCTCTTAATATAACAATTTATTTCTAACATATTTTAATCGTATTTTGAACAATTAATTTTTTTTGAGGTACGTAAGGTAGGATAACTACGTTTAAAATTAATCATCCATTCATTTCGGGGGGGGGGGGGTTGAACCACCAAAATCCTTCCCTGCGTCCGCCACTTGGTGACTAATATTATTTTCCAAAGGCCATAAAAAAAAAAATGTTTTGATTTGTTAAGAACTTAAAATTTTTCTTGTAAATCAATAAAATATTAGTTACACTTAAGAAATTTTTTACATTATTACAACATATATGATTAATTATTTCACTGAAAATTAGTATAACAAAATAAGAATAATTGATTTATATTTTTTTTTTTTTTTATTTAATTTAACCCTCGGCAATATAGGCCATTGGGAATTACAAGAAGAATTTTTGTTACATAGTTATGTGATTTGAAAAATTATAGGTTTAATTTTATATACATTGTTTTGGTTTAAATATAGGTTAATAATTTTGCGGATGTGATGAATTTGATGAGGGATTTTGAGGATTCTTGACAGTTGCTGAGTGATGAGTGAATATATTCTGGAGGATTGGCTTTTTTCCTGTAGGATTCGTAGAATAGGCATTCCGTTAGAATGTGCTTGATACTAACCTGAACTCCACACGTATTGCACAATGGGGGTTCTTCATGGTTTATTATATAGCTGTGGGAGATTTTTGTGTGTCCGATGTGTAGTCTGTTAATGACTACCTCTATTTTTCTAGGCATCTTCAGTGGATGTGGATGATTTTCCAGCTTATTATGGTAGACAGGGGCATATTTATGGAGGGGAGCCGAGAGGGCCCGAACCCCCTCCGAAATTAAAAACACCGTTGTTAAAGATTGTTATTTTTAACATGGATATGTCTTAATGCTGGGGGTTTCCGAAAATTTGTCGTGACACAAAATATTGCTTATGCGATAATTTAAAATTTTATATTTATAAAATATATTTATTCTTTTAAGAAAATATGTGCTGAATTTTGAGTGACTCTAATAAAATATTTGTTTATTACAATGTAGTTTTTAAACTTTTAAAATATAATAAATCATTAAAAAAATTGAGTTTCTTATTTCTCTGATGGTATTAAGACAGTCGAGAAGTCTTATAGTGTTAAAGTAATTTTTTCGTAATAGTGTGCTCCCTCCTTCCCTTCCACCCAAAAATTAAATACATAATCGGTTCCCTCCGAAATGAAAACCTATATACACTGCTGATGGTGATGATAGATGCTGTATAAATATCATATTGGATATATTTGTATTGTACATAAAATTTCATAAGTTTATTCCTATTTTTTCAAATAGATGGCACAAATATCACTTTTAATAATATATCAATTTAACTGAAACAATATTATCAAAAGTGTCATATCTTAAAAAATATTTTTTCAGTTATGTCACTTCTTAAGCGGCGGGGGTGCGATATATATTTCATTATTTTTGTATTTTCATAATATTTTGAAAATAATGTTATAAAAAATTAACCTTGATATGTAGAATAAAATTTGGAAAATAATTTTAGTTTTGCTTTAAGATTTTTTTTTTGTAATTAATTATTATGATTTTTTTTTATAGGCTCATGCATCTGAGTGCAATATTTGAAAATCAAAACAATAATCAGGGATTATGTCATCAAGATTCTTAGGTTCAACAATTTAATATTACATTGATTACATTCCTTAGATATACAACTGAAATCATTTTGTCAATTTTATTTTTTATTTGATTTATATTGTTTGTGTATACATTTTACTGAAAATCGGTTTTATAATTTTTAAAATTATTTCGTTAATATTTTACAGAATATACTACTGAGATATATCCATTTATAAGTATATAATAAACTGGTTGTAATTTAGTCTTTGGCATATTTATGGTGAGGAATATTGGGATGAGGGTTTTCATAAAACTATATTTTATAAAAACTAATTAAACCCTGGTACGATGATATATTTTGTTTTTGATTGTGCTAGTCGAAACATACTACACACTTCACAGGCTAATGCCTATTGCTGTAGCCTGTAGTTCGTAGAAAATTGTTGTCTACTTACTGTGAAGGTAGAAGACGATCACATTTTGTTTTAGAAAATACTTAATGGCCTTGCCATGTTATCGATTCATCCAGATTTTAATATTACTACCGATGAAGTTATTGACGAATTGACAAATAAAAGAAGGAAGCTAGAGTTTATCATATAGCTTATTATTAATGAAATTACATTTTTCATTTAGAAGATAATAAAACAAAATTTAGTTTTGACCATTTTATACTGATTTATAAAAAATCTATGAGAAAGAAAAATATTGTTTGTAAATATGCCACTGAAAAGTTAGTTTACAGTTGGTGTTCAGATTAAAATTTAGGTAGGTTTTTATTATTGCTTTATGTGTATTTGTGGTATGTGAATTGATAATGGTGATTAGAATTCAATATTGTATGTAATTTTATGTATCAATTACTCGTATTATTACTTTTTAGAAAAAAATTAATTTATTAGTTGTTACAATTTTACTATGAAATTAACTATATAATAGAACCAAATGACCCTTACACATTATGTAACAATAATGTTTATACATACATACCATTTATGTTTTCTTCTGAACTTTATTACTTTTTAATTTTAAATGTTTTATTTATTATTCACCAAATATATTATTGTGATAAATGGTAAATTTATGATTGAAAAAAAATAATATATGTATTTGATAATATTAATGTAAAACTTTTGATTATACTCAATAATGTCAAAATTAAATTAATTAATTCTTCAAACAATATTTATTATGATAGTCCCATAATTTAAAATAGTTAGAAACGGTTTTGAATATCACATATTTGTATTGTTTAAATTGTTTTGTTTTCATCTTACTTACTGATAATAAACTCAATATATTCAAAAATGTACACATATTTTAATTTAATGTTGTGATTATCCTATATCTATTTTTCACTTCTAGTTGAAATGTTTTTTTTCTATTACATATGATTTATTATTGAACATTTATACTCTTATTAAGAAGGTCCAATTAAAACTGAAACAAATTATAGGTTCTAATTTACTTTTTAAATATGAATAAAAATGCATTTTTTTTAAGATTCATGCTAAATAATTTAGAAATATTAAAAATCTTTTAATAATTCACTATACATTAATAATTAATACAATTGTAAGAACTATACAGAATTAAAAGTTAAAAAAATACATATGATGTATAGTACCTTTACAGGTATTATATACATAATATTATTTAGATTATATTATTTTTATTACAAAATTCAATATTTAAATACAGTTTTAAGCTCTTTAAGCTATAATTTGTGAACATATACCTATACATCAATAACTACCGAATCCTGTTTCCAATATTAAGCGGAAATATATTTACTGAAGAAATAAAAAAGAATAGAATTGTAAATTTATTTTCAACAATAATACTGTAATTTTATTATGAATAATCAGTTGTAAGTATAGAAGTCTAGAAAGTGAGTGTGTTAAATAATAATAAGCAGAATATTATTATAATTCTATAAACATAAAATATATTAATAAATATTATATTAAATATATAATTTAATATTATATTAAAAAAAAAAAAAAAAATGTAATTAGTGTTATAAATATTTTCTTTATATAATATACATTAATTATCAAATGTCATACTTAATTTGCTATGCAAAAACATTAAAAAAAAAATTTGTATGAATACTTATTCTAATTATAATAGGTATATTTGAACTGTAAAACAAATAATATTAACTAAATGTTGCATTGTTAACTTACAATATAAGGTAAATACATTATAATAAACCAACTAGTAGGAAATATTTTGTTCTATAAATATTTAATTGATATTAAAAAAAATATAAAATTTATACTTGTAATTTCAAAAAATTATAATGATAAAAAATATTACATTTTATATTATGAAATGATTATTAAATATACAAACCGTATATTTTTCATTATATTTGTAAATGCTATAAATTATTTTCCTGATTTACTTGTGGAAAAATTACATTTAACAGTTTCATCATTTGTTGGAAGCGTAGCTATTTCATCAAATCCAGTAAATCTGTCTTCATTATCAGATGGTAAATCCAATAACACTTGTACTTTTTTCACTTCTACCATCATTTTTTTCTAAAATAAGATAATGAATAAGAATAAGAATAAAATGTAAAGGTTGATTGATTTATATAGCCGAGTTTACACGGCGACAGTACTGTCATATGTTTATGCAATTCTGATATTTTGCTATTATTTAACAGAAATTAATACGACTTTATTGTATTTTGAAACTGACCTTATACTGTTATTTATTGATACATCCGCTGGTCATTAATTATTAAGGTTTCTTTAGATATTATTTGAAACCAATATGTAGGTAGGTCGTCATACTTAGTCGTATTATAATAAAAAAAATATAAAGTAGCTGAGTGTGCATCTGCAGAACCATAGCTACAAGTTGGTTGAAATTTCAACTGATAAGTAGGTAATTTTAAATTATTTAATACTTAAAATTGTACAACTAAATAAACATTTTAAAATTATAATTAGGTACCTTCTTTAGATTTACAAATAATGCTTATAGTTTTCCAAAAAAAAAAATAAATTGCAATACCTTTTATAATAAAATAACTACCTAATACGAAGATCGACTTTTAAGTATTGAGTTTAAATAATTGAATATTTATTTATTTAGAACTTTGATATTTATTAATAAAAGCAAAAATGTATATTTATTTATTAATGTTATTCATTTTAAATACAACTTAGTATTATGATTTTTTAGTCTCAAGACAAAAATAATTGTTTTAAGTTTTAATTTTCTAAATCATTAATTTATCTAATGTAGGTTCTATGTTGATATAGGTTTGTGGAAGAAAATAATATAATACGCAATACTAGATTAAAATGAACTCTAGTTTAATATAGATTATTGTAATAGAAATTATATTAATTATAATTTCAATAGTATTAACTGTGTGATTTATAACCATAACCTTCACACGCTTTGTATTTATAATTATCCCCGACATACATGTTTTCTCTCAACACCTACTTTTAAGTCACCCTTTTTAGTATTTTGGAAAAAATTTATATACTCATTGAAAATCTTATTACGAATTATACGAGTTGCTGTTTTTTTAAGAAAATTATATCAAAATATCACAAGTAATACATTTTCTGAATTGTGATTATACCTCATCGAGTTTTCCAATGTTGTGTTTAATATGTTTTCTAAACACATTTTGTAATGCTTTATCTGTGCACAAGTCAAGCCTTACTACTTCGTTAGTCATTTCTTCGAGGAACCGTTGGTATGAATCATTTGTCGTATTTTGAAAAAAATGACTAAAAAAAAATTATAAATTTTATTATATAATTATAGATAATATATACATAATTCTCCAAACAGTTTGCTTATTTATATTATAAAAATGTAGGCTACATTATTAAGTCAGTAATATAATTGACACTATTGCTATATAAATGCAGTGCTCGAATTGGGGGGGGGGTGCTCAGGGGGGCGGAGCTCCTCTACTATTTTTTTTTTTTGCGTACCCCAACTATATTTTTTCACCGGAAAGGGGGGACGCCACGTTCATCCTAATTGATGTCCAAAATAATTCTTATGTAAATTTCAATTTACGTCAGTTAGAAAATGAATATTACGATTTATAATATCAAAACTATTTTGATAATTAAAGATTATATGGTGGTTAAGATAAGGGACAACGTCTTTATTTCTGAAAAAATATAAATAGTAATGTCTGTGAATTTGGTGTATTATACTTTATACATTGTACGGTTTGTTATTAATTTTGGCGATCGACGATATCGTCATTTTAGAAAAAAAGTAAATGCTCTCACCACGACCTTAGACTAATCTTCTAAGGCCGTGGCCCGCACTAAAGAGTAAAAATGGATAAAAACTAAAACCAAATATATGATTATATTATTTGATTCACGAAACTGCTTGATTGCTTACAATTACCTATGTTAATTATTATTTTATTTTTATTTTCTATTGTAACATATAGGATCAATGGCGTAACTGGGAAAAAATTTAGGGGGGGGGCAATATAATATATTATTACCAAAACCCTGACACCCTTCCCCCTCACCAGTTAAAACATATTTTTATTGTATGTATTTTATACAGTATATTTAATTGTTTGATTTTACATAAGTCTCTTAACTCATTTTGTGGTTTAGATTAACATAAATTGTTAGTAGCAGGTACTAGGTATCAATATTGTTAAATAATACCCATAAGAGTTCATTAATAAAAGGTGCTATTTGTACTGTTGCATTATCTAGGGGGCAAAATTATACCTTAATCTCTCAAAAAATTGTCAGGAGGGGAACTTGCCCCCCCCTTGCCCCCTGCCACCTCACAATTACGCCGCTGTATAGGATGTTGGTATTGCTATCAAAATATATAATATTTGAAATTAAAATATTTTTTTAGCTGAAAAGTGGTATTCAAAATATATTTAAGGTTGGTGGAGGGGGGAAGAAGGACGAAGCCTCCCACGGGTCTGTGTCAAATAATTGCGCACATGGAACGCAGTTTTCAAATCGTTGGACTGAGCTCCCTTACTTAATTTTTCCTATTTCGAGCACTGTATAAATGTATAAATAAGTTCAGGTTGTAAATTTATTTATTAAAAAAAACATATTACGAATAAGTATTAATAATTAATAAATAATAAATATTGTAATACTCTTTTTTTTTTGACGATTTTTTCGGATGAATAGACTTTATTGTACGATCATGTCTATTTATCGTTTTGGATTCATCTTCACGGTTGCTATGATGGTCTTCGGGAGAATTTGTTCGACTGTTATTTTCAACGGAATCGAAATCAACATCATTATATGCAGATTCATAACTTAAATTCTGTAATTTATTATTAATAAAAATTTAATTTTTTTTATGAATTAAGCAGAACTAGCTGAAAATAATGTTATCCCTGTCTATTATTGAAATATTTCATCTTCTTGATAATTTATATTTTTAAATTTTGTTCTTAAAGTACAATTTAATCTTGAGTAATTAATTAGATGGTATTTATTTTATATAGTTATTATATAATATATAATATTTATCAATATTATAATATTAATTAAAATTATAATTGAAGACATTTAGAAAATTTTTATTAGATTATTAAATAAAGTAGACTAACCTACTCTTAAAAAAATATTAAGAATGACAATATTTTTTTAAAAAATATTGTGGTATTATTATATATTAAACTAAATAATTAATACCTTAATTACCTTATAAAGCATAATTTTTAAAATAATAATCTTAAAAATTATTTAAATTCAACAAATTATAAACTGTGTTAAAAATATAATTTTTTCTAACTTCTATTTATCGAAAATTGAATCACATTATATAAATAACAATATTATAATAAATCTAATGATTTACATGCTTTCAAATTGGAAATAATAACATTGGCTTTCTCCAAGGTGAGCATGACGAATACCCAGTTACTGTATCCTGTTGTACTTAAAAAAATATATTTGTACTATTACCTAGTTTAAGCTGAATATTCGAAAGATCTACTAACAATTTAAATTATAACTCTTCGTTTGATAAATTGAAGTGAAAAAGTAGGATAAAATACATAAATTTATATTTAATAAACAAAAAAAAAAAAAAAATATGTATTGAGTACATAGACTATAATAATGTAATGTATTTACTCTGTTTATGTGTTTCTTTTTACTCGACGACGGACGAGTTAACTTATTATTGTCGTATTTTTGTTTTACCGATTTTTTCGCCGTAGAACTGATGGTTGAATTACAATAATGTGGCAGAACTCTGTATAACATATAGAATAATGAAAATGAAAATTGAGTTGGTTAAAAATGTAAAATTTAGGCATGTTAAAAATAATAATAGATTGGGGTAAAATGTATATTTTTATGGGATAAAAAAAATGATGTAATAATGTTACAGTATATGTTAAGGTGATCACCTGTCCCATTTAAAACATGATTGTCCGTTTTTTGATAATCATGTCCTGTTGTCCCGACAAAATACAAACGGGAAGATTTTTATACAGTTTTTAAAAAATAGTCGCGTTTTAATCTCGTTCTTTCCATATTATTACATTATATTTGTAAAAAAGAAAAATAAATAATTTTTTTAAATGAATAAGTATAAACACTTTTAAACCTTAAATCATACTCGTAAACATGGAAATCATAAGATCAATAATTTTTACGAAAAAGTACTTTAAAAATACAACTCGTTTACAATTTTATGAATTTCATTTGAAGTATCTACCAAAAATTGTTAAATTCAATAAGTTCTTTAGAAAAGTACGAAAATTAGTGAAAAATTTAGAAAAAAAAATCAAATTTATGAATAATGAATATAGATAGCTGATAAAGTATTTTTTTAATTTATATTTAAAAAAAAAATTAATCAGTTATGATGTGTTATAATGTACCTATTGTTAAATACTTTAATTATATAAAGTAAATTATTTTATTGTTAGTAAAATGCACTCTTCTAATTTTGGAAAATAATTTATTATATTTATAGTTTTATAATTATGTTTTGAAATACAATTTTTTTTGGGGAGGAGAGAAAGTAACAAATGTCCCGTTTTTTTCTGAAAATGTTCGCCCTAGTGTAATTACATGCATATATTTTAAATATAAAATTTGACAAAATAAATAAGTAGGAATATAATGTAACATACTTTTTGCTGATAAAAAGTTGAAACAAGTCAACATCATTAAAATATAATAATGAAAATGTATCAATAAATATAATCGTTTTTTATTAAACAGTTAGCGAAAAAGCGTAGGTACCTGTTGACAACCTATTATAAATTACTAGCAATTGGCTTGAATACCAAATACACGTAAATAATTAAAAAATTTACGCTACGAATATTTGTTTTAATTAAATTTTAGTACTCACTGAAAATCACGAATATTGATAGTGTTTTTCAATAACCTTTTATTTGGACAAGCATCAGACCAACACTTTACTATAGGTTTTACATCATAAATCTTTTTAAAATGACTTCTCATAGTCAGAAACGTTGTTATATTGTCTTCTGAAAATATAAATGTTTGTATAAGTATTATAGTTCGATTCGGAATAATAAATAGATTATAAATTATATAATTCAAGAACAACCATAACATAAACGTGAGCTACGCTGAGAAGTGTATTCCCTAACCCAATTTTACGGTATTACATAACTATTAACTTCTGGACTATTTATTAGACAACCCTTCCATTTATTTTCAGATACAAAAGCATTGTTTTTAATATACTTAAAAAATGTGATTCAACAATCTTAATAATCTCCACTAGATCTTCTATTATTCAATTCAATCGATTGCGTATAGGTCGTTCATATTACCTATTACTTGCTTACGCTTATAAGCTTGAACTAAACGATTCTTCATTCTACACGGTGCATTTCATTGATTCAGTGAGCAATATTGATCGTTTGTAACAGATATAATTGAAATTTTCCTGTATTCTTAGATTTTTTAATAATGTGAATAAAATGGTTTCGATTCAATAAAAAGTCTTGTTAATTTACAATTTCATAATAAAAAGTTTTTTTTTTATATATTAAGTACAGCATTTAAAAAAAATCTTATGCTTAAAATTACAAGTGGTTAAATATTAAACTTTAACAAAATAAAAAAAATCATGAAAATACCCTACTTTTTTGTAGTAAAAAAATGCATTAAGGTTTTCAATTCGAATACCTAAAGTTTGAAAATTGAATATAAGATTTTACATATAATTTTCCTTGCAGAAAAACAAATAAATACTTTAAATTCGCAAAAAATATTTATAAGCGTTATAAAATTGAACGTTGACAAAATCGAATGGTTCAACGAACTTCTATTAAATTATAATAATTATTTAATTAAAGGCATTTTATACATATGCAATTTACATAAAATATGTAGTTTTGAATTATTTACTTAAGTTTGTTCTGTTTAAAAGCATTTAAAATTCACAATTTATATTTTAAATGGCTTTTTTTATTTCAAAAGTAAGAACATTATAAGTTCAATCTACCTTATAAAGAATTTTGGTTCTTCTACTATATCATCCATTTTCAGAAATATAAACTGATGTTTGTGTCCTCTTTCACTCAGAATCTTTTTCTGGTGAATAATGGTATATTGGTTTCAAGTTTGAAAGACTTACAGAATAATACCATTCACTCATCCTTTCCATTTCGCCCGACCATGGAGTCTTACCCAACTTAGGAGTCTTGCCTTTTTTTATTTACAATTAGTTACAAATAATAAAAACAAAAAAATTGTCCAAACAGTATAATATTTACAAAACGAAGTTTTTTTTCTAGAGTCTTACGTAACTTATTTTCTTTTGAAATTATGACGGAAACCGTACATCGGTCACACCATTGTACTGTATTATATAAATAAGAAATAATAGAAATATTCCTAATAATATTACTTGTATAACTGTTTGTGCCGGATTTTTGGTATTAAACATGATTAATAAAGTAATTATAATTATTAATATGAGTTTATCGGATTAGTGTTATTATAATTATTATAAAATTTAAATAGGTTATTAATAAATTATTTTTTTTCTCATAAAACATTGAAAAATCGAATTTTTATCTCAGCACTTTGATTTTAGTAATAGACTGGTAGTTATTTCATAACTTCATATTTTATTTCAGTTTGAACAGACAAAGTACAACGCCATTAATAAATATAACATTAGATATGACTAAGAATTGTAAATAAAAAACAAGATAAAATAAGTCGATAATTTTTATTGTTTTTTCTTTTCGTATGGTTGTCTTCTAATAGATAGCCATGCATTTATACATAGTACTTAATTCTGTTTACTTATTCTTATGTATTTTTATAAAAAGCATACATTTACACTATGGAACAGATAGACAAAAATATTATTGTAAGATAATGAAGTAAAGACATACTGGTGTAATATTTTGGTATTTCTATATAAGTTTTTCACCTCTTATATTTTATGCTGTTATAATAGTTTTTCAAAAATCATATTCATATAAGAACAAATATAAAAAAACGACACCGATGTAGGCAATATGTTTTTAGTGATAAATAAGATGATTTACTTTATATGATTATTGGAATAATTTATCGTGTATAATATTCAACAACGTATGGTGGGTCTCTGTATACAACGAACACGATGAACATATGGTATGCATTATACTATGATCATATACCTACCACCTACCTACCCTGTTATTCACGTGGAAACATTTCAAATAGGAAATAATAATAATCATGTTTCTAAAATAAATGCATATAACAGTGTGCGTATTGTACAGCCTAAGTCATACAAAAATAATCAGGGCCGGATTTAGAACAAGTGCCGACCTAGGCCCTTTTAAATATGCCGCTCCTACCCCAAGAAAAAAAAATCTTGTAATTATTTCTAATAAATTTATTTAATTTAAAAAAGATATTAGGTCAATAGTCATTATAAATAAAACAAATAATTATCAATTCTAATTCGTTGTGTGCGATGTGGATACACAATATCTCTAGCCAACTTCTATATATATTATATAGGTTTATTTTTATCGTAATTACTTTAGGAACAACTTATAATGACTTATAATAACTTATTATGTACCTAGGTAGGTATTTTATCTTTATAGCTCACATTACGAGAAAATTGATTTTGTGTTATTGACATTTTCAGTGTCATACGCCCATATATTTTACACACAAATATCTATACTATAATATTAAATATTATATAATATTAATTTACGTAGTTACATAAATGCATAAAATATTTATATGATTTTTTTTTTATTTCTTATAAAATTTGCCGCCCTAGGCCCGGGCCTCACGGGCCTAGGCATAAATACGGCCCTGAAGATAATGGTTTGTATGAATAAAAATTGGCCGAAGTAAAATATATATTTATACACTATTAGATACATATGAAATATTGTAATGAAGAATAAAGGAATTAGCTCGCATGGTGTTATTATTTGTTTTTGACGGTTGCAATGAAGTTGCGCATGTACAGGTATATACTATACACAGAAGTACAATACAGACGTTTACGGACGATAATTATACATTCTGCGTTTTTGTCATGTTTATATTGAACTGAATTTTCAATGTTAATTTATGTACATTTAGATTACTATGTATACAGTGTTCGGTATATACTAGGTATACTAAACATTGTAGATGGTATGATAATTAATCATTGATAAATTACAACGGATATCACTATATATATATATATATATTATATATAATTTTTTTTTTAGTCGTGTAGGTACTATTGTTGGATGGAATACGTATGTACACAATTTCGGTATTTTTAATTGTTACATATTATGAATTCGATTTAGTTATGACCGTGAGCGAAGTAAAGTAATTGCATAGATTATATAATAATATTGAGCTTCACCTTCAATATTCGTGTGCATATTACAAGTTAATGGAAGCGATAATATTACATATGTGCCGTGTAGAAAAACGCGTTTACACCATATATCAGTATTTCCTATACGGCAGTGCATTTTTTAAACTAGTTAACTAGACCAGTGGTACACAACCTGGAAGTCGCGATTCCTTAAGGTGTGGCCAAATTGTATTAGGTCGTCAATAATTTAACACTAAATGAAAATGTTATATTATATATATATATATATATATATATATATATATATTATAGATTTTATAAGTAATCAAATTTTGTATTTTTTTTTTCATGTTTTGGATTAGTTAAATGAAAGAAATATTAAAATTGCCGATTAAATTTACTATTTATTTAATATATATATAATCAAAGTTTTTATATACATTAAGTATATATTATACACTTAAATAATGTTGGTAGGAAGAGGTTAGAGCTTTGCACGGTCCGTTTTTTTAAAGACCGGACCGGACTGATACATTTTAACAAAGATCAAGACACTAGACCAGACTGATGAAATAAAAAATGAAACCATATTGGACCGAACCGTGTAATTTAGATAAATGATAGATACATTTATAAATAATACAATTTGCTGTAATATTATTGATATTTACTTTTTCTATCAGCATTGAGATTTATTTTAAACAATCATGTGGAGCAAACGTGAAGTACTATCATCATACTAATAATAGTATAAATTACATTGTCTATTTTAAGAAAAAAATGGTTTGTCACCCAGTGAAAATTCCTTAAAAATGAACTGCAATATGGTATTAGCTGTGTGCAAGTATAAATACTACAAATTAAAAATGTAAATGCTTCTGTGGATTTATGACTGGAGTGTGAAAAAACAAAACATTTTATGATAATTTTTATTGTGTACATTTAATTGGATACATACGAGTATTATAAAAAATAAAAAATAAATATAGGCCTGACCTGGTGTGGCTAAAAATAAAGTAAACACCGTTCGTATAGAGAAGGTTTATGAACTCTCCGTAGTATATACGCGCCACACGGACGGTTCTAACACGTTTCAAACATGTCGAGACCGGCAGTGACATGCAATCGAGGTCTTTTTTCAATTTTATTATTTTTATTTGTACTGCTATCAATTTCTCAGTTTAGGAGCTAATTTGATTGTCTGCGATCTAAAAACGTTTCCTCTCGTGTGCCTGGCAATAAAATGACCATTTGATTATGTACATACTGAAACGACATCGTTATATGTTTTGTTCGATTATTTTTAATAGTGTACTCGAACAATGGGCATTGAACTAACTAAATATTTAAGATTAGTTTACCGTATTGTAAGACATTTTTGTCAGGATATTGGCATAAAGATGACACATGTATTGAACATGAACAACAAAACAATAAAACATACGACTTTCATTTCTAAACGTACAAATATTTATCGGCCCCATTTGTTTTGATGTAGGAATTTCTACCAACAATTTTGGTGTATTTTCAAATATATCTCTAGGTTTTCATTGTATACCAATGAAATATTAAATTTCATATAAATGATAAATATTTTTGTCATTTCTATACTATTTCAGTTAAACGTAATATTTGTTAAAAAATTATGTTTAATTATAAGTTATAAAAATATTAAATATTAAGTTTGATTTAATCCTGATAATAACCTATATAATTTTACTTTGTATGCTTTGAACGAAATGAAACCTATTGGAAGATTAGTATTAGAGAAGTAAAGTTATAATGATTGGATATAAAAGTGATGAATTACCTATACATAAATACAAAATTATTTGATAAAAAAAATAATACAAAATAAAAAAAAAATAAAAATGTATAGATGGATAGACGGAAATTACATAAAACCAGTATTGCAATAACATAATCTAATAATTAAATTTTCTAAGTTACACATGTAATATAATCTAATCCAATAACCCATTTCATCACCACCGTATTGAGTTAAAGATATTATATTTTGTTTAATCCTAATCGAAGCAAATATTTATGGTTTTATTTTAGTTATTGAGTGTTGAGTCATGCGAAATATATACATATTGATTTGGCTGTTATGTGTTTTTCCCAAATCTATACCTACCAGGAGTTGTCTAACAATTGCACTTAAATCTGCAGTATATGCATACATCAACTAAAAATTGCATTTAGTTGGTGTATATAAAATAATATCTTTGATTTACCAACAATTGGTAAATCAAAGATATTATTTTATATTCACAATTACTGTGTAAAACAGGAAAACTTGTATTCAAATAATTATAGTTATTATTTATAATATATCATAAATATAATTTATCACAAACAAATTCTGTATTCTTAAAATTTTTATTTTTTATGAGTTATATGGCATTGATACTGTATAGTTTTTGTTTATAATATATACAGTAAAATAATATAGTAGCTAATAAAAAGTTTTATTTAAATAAAAACTTATTTTATGCATGTTTATAAATACACAATTATGTACTAACCTGGTATTTTAATTTTTACTGCGGACATAGATATATCGTTATTTTAACAGAACACTTACAATATTTTATAATGTTATTGTAGTAATATTTTGATAGTAAATATTTATGGTTAAATTATAATATTAGATTCTGAATTCACGTGCTATACTTTATATTTTACATTAGTCTACTTGTACTGCAAAGATTACAAAATATATATTTTTGTTTGTGTACATAAACGTATGATTATGTTACTATGACGACATTGACAGTGAAATATTCAAATAATAATCATATATTTATACACACAGTGTATTAGTAAATACATTTAAGGGTTACACGGAATTTTTTAATTAATTATAATAACAATAAATGTTTAATGTTTGTATTTTCGTTGCTTGAATATTAACAATAAATAATATAATAATAAATTTCAGTTTCATTTAGTATTTATCACTTTTTTTAAAAAAAATTAATTGTGCATTTATTTTTATTCATATTATTTTCTAATAAGTGATTAATAATAATAATAATAATTTGTAATGATTACTAATTATATAGCATGATTTACAATAGATAATAATAATTTGTGACACATAATAAGTATACAACGTCTTTTATAAATGGGCATTCGTATATTGACTATTTTTCAGGTGTAAACATAGGCGCAACTGTGGGGAGGGCTTGGGTGTGCTTAGCACCCTCATTTTCGAAATTAGCACCCCCAAATGTGTTTATATTAATTTACATTAAAATACTCATTACTCATTATGTATAGAAAAACAATAATTTTTGAGTTTTTTTGTATAAATATACACATTTTTATACAATACGAAAATATTTCGCAATACGAAAAAAAAATATCTTTGCTATAGGGTAAAAGTTTCAAGTTTCTAGCCACATTACTTTTGGAGTTATGACTAAATAAGTAAAATTTGACATATGAAAGTCTTATTTACAGCGTATTTTTACCATTTCAGGACAGTTTTTTTTCTCACGTCTAGAAAAACTATTAAGATTTAAAAAAATGACCTATCTAAAGTACCACCGCATGCCAATTTAAAATATAAAAAAAGTCCTAGAAAAAATTTTTGGACCTATATTTCTATTTGAAAAAGAGTTAAATAAATAAAATACAAACATCATTATAAAACCAAAATATCATTGGCTTCAGTCAGAATCTAAAAATGATCATGTGATAAAACATTTGTGTTTACAGACAGGTTATTCGTTATACGCACAATAAAAATATTAAATCAAAGTGAACAATTTAAATTTAAAAGTATTCATATATTTACCAAATATTTTAGTAACTATTGAATTGTACGGTTTGCGGGTATTTATAATCATTAAGGAACATGAAAAAGATAGAAGGTCTACAGCACCCCCAATTTTTTCATTGAAATTGCGCCCCTGGGTGTAAGCTATGAATAATTAGAATATAAGAGTGTTCTGTGGTATGATTAATAAGAGGGGTATTCTATTCAATCCCAATTACCTATCTATACTTTTTATAACAACACGCCACCGCCTGTCTATGCGCACGATTTGTTGTAGGCAGTACGTTATTGAACCAATTGATTTATTTAAAAGTATTAAAGAATTATGTTTATAAAGAATACATATAATACAATAATTAAATTATATGAAGAAAAATAATAAATTATGGTGATCGGGTAAAATGGTTGGTTTATTATTATTATTTTTTAACGTAACATTGAATGTAACATTGATTTGAAGTTAATGTATCATTAACACTCTAAAAATGACAAATTATTTGAATTGTTACAAATTGAATTTCTAAACGTTTGCATTTGCATCAATAATCAATAATTATGACATTATATTTACATTGTCAATGGTTTATATATAATATGTTCAATATGATGTACTTAATTGTAATTGCACTTGTATATATTGTCTTCATAAGATCGTGTTTTAAAAAATTTTGTTGTGTAGACCAGCGATTCTCAAACTGTGCTCCGCGGAACCCTAGGTTAGGTATTTAATATGTAATTAAGTTTTAAGGGTGGATTTATATTGTTCGTGAAAATCCCATTGATTAGGTAACAGACATTTTATGTTTTGCTGTATAGAAATAATACTTATACCCACACCGTATGCGGTAGGTTGGTTTATGCACTCGCATACGAAGTTATTCCAAGGTTTTTTCTTGGTCTAACACGCAGTGTGTGTATACAATCACTTAACAATAGAAACCATTTAGTGAGGGTGGAAATATTTCGCCTTCAGTTATTTAGTTAAAAAAACCAAAATTTCAACCCATACATTCATAAAATATGTTCATTACCACAAATAAGAGGGTTTTTTTCTAAATAATATTATGAAAAACAAAAATTAATCGACCATTATGAAAGAGTTAATAGTAAAATGTTTAAAATCAAACTTAGTTAGTTCACGACATAAAAACAATGTTAACCTATGAGTCAAAATGTGTAAAAATTATATAAAGTGCCGATACGAGGATATATTATGTCCGTACTCATTTAGCCGAGAAGTTAATTTTTTTGTTTAAATTGAATGTAGTAGTAAGTAAATACATTAAAAAATAATCAAAATTTAAAATTAACATTAAAATTACAGACTTAGAAATATTAAATATCCAAAATAACGTTTATATTAATTCAGTTTTAGAAGTTATACATACACAATGAAATAAAGAAAAATAATTTATATAATATTTTAAATGAACAAATAAATTTTAAAAATAATATCTTACATCAATATAGTTTAGATAATAATAAATTTCAAAGTAAAATCATAAATAAGTAATAATAAAAGTATTTATATTTTGTAACATATATATTATGTATAATAAGAACTAATTTTAAATAATCTCTCTTATTAAAAAATAATATCAAAAAATATGTAAAAACACTAATTTTTCTCAATGTATTTCTTCCTTTATTTTTTCATATTCAGTTTCAATTTTATTTTTCATATTTAGTCACAATTTTATTAACTTTGTATCTGGCCATGGATTTTTAATTCAAAATTGGTCGTACTTTACAAATATAATAATACCTACTCCCGACTAAGATTTTATTTTATTTATTTATTTCTATATATAAAATATTTGTTTATTTATTTATATATAAAAATAAATACGTTACATCTAGGTTATGTTGAAGGGTTTTTTGTTTTTAGTTTTTAATACTACTAAATGTAAGTACAATGATTAATCTTGTTGTACTTGTTTGGTATTTAGCTTAAATTTCAGATTTTTGTAGGTTTTCAACTTTATCCTTAACTTTATTTCATAAAATACATGCACACACCCACAACAATTTAGCTAAAGTAATTTCAGAAAAGCTCCTCAATATCAAATATAAAAATTAAATCATTAATATGTAAGAGTAAGTTGTTATTAGGTATATAACAAGTATTCATTAATTACAATAAGTGTTTTTTTTAATCTACGTTTTTAATTTAACTCACGATCTTCGTACTATAATATTTACACTCTTTTATCTTTCCGGTGTCTCTACATAAGTTTTTCTCAGTGACGTCCAGTAAATAATTTTTGATATTAATAAAAATAAATAAAATATACCAACTTATGGTAGGTTTATAAACTATGTATGTGTAATCACTTTATCTACTTAATATATTTGTATAATTCTGACTTACGTATTTTGAGAAAAACAATGAAATAATGATGAAGCATAGTTTTATATTAATTTTTATAGTTTTATCATAAATTAACATTTTTCCAGAATATATTAAAAAATTTAAATATAGTTTAAAAACTATTGTTAAAATTAAAAATAGTTAGTTAAATTTATTCACTACCGCAATTTAGAAATAAATTAAACTTTTACGAGTCGGCAAAGAACTTGCGAATATACTTATTATTTCTTATATTTGACGGTTGACAATAATGTGTAATCATCCGTCTTAGTTATAAAGTGATATGGAAAAATGGATTCTTAGTAATAATATGGCTTTTGAAGGGATAATAATCACCCGATCCGATTATAATGTTTAAACATTTTATAACAACGGACGTATAGTTTTAAGTATAAATGCATATTGTAGAACTTCATCCGGTAAATGGATTTATTATTACTTAAGTAGTTACATACGTAGTAAATGTGTAAAGCCATTTATTTTAAAAGTAATTTTTAATTTTTTATCGCTATAATTTAATTTTCAAAGTGTGCAAGCTACCACTGTAATTATTTATTAAGTACAGTTTTTTTTTCGATATAGAAGTACTTAATTATTATTTTTAACTTTTTGAATCATATAAAATAATATTATGTTTAGTTCGTATTTTAGTAATAAATAAATTATATCAAAAATACGACACAAGGATTCTAGGATTTTAATTTGATTTGGGTGAACCAAAATAAAGATTACCAGGGTTGGTAAACATTTGTAGGTCTTATATAGTCTCAGGTACTTAAAGAGTTTCTCGTTACATAATGATTACTCGTTAATTGATAAACACTTGCGTTCGGTATATTCATGATTTCTAAAAAAACTAGCTCAAATACTAAGATTGTTTTTACTAAATTATAAACGTACAGTCCTGTTTATTATTATCCTGTTTAGTTTACCTACAGATCCGTAATGAAAACAAAATCGTAAGTTTTTTAATCAACCTGTATACAACTAAAGTACCATTTTTCTGTACAAATAACATTACTCTCATTTTTTTTTTTTTTTATAGTACGTTTTTCTTAATTTTCTTAATGCTTATTGAACTATGGATATTACTTTAACCTTGGATTAAGAAATTATTCAGCTATATAGTATACCTTATGTAATAAATTATTCAATTATCATTTTTTGTATCGCATTTTATCCATACTTACAAAGGAATAGGTATATCCTTTTCGTTGAATTTGTATAATGAGACATTAAAATTAAGCGACTTATACATAGATTTGCGAGTGTTTACAATAAGCTCCATGGAAAATATATTTTGAAAAAAGCGTTTATATTTCACTTTCAAAGTTTTAAATAACATAAATTATAAAAATTAAATACATATTTTTAAAAATAGACATAAAAAAACTAGATTAGAAAAGATAGAAGCGCTAATTTGTTTGAGATCTGGATAGATGCTTGACATACAAGTATTAAGTCTAGGTTATAAATGAATACCACACAAAAAATGTGCATAATATACCGACTATATACGGATGTAATATTGTTTATAAATATATTGTAGGCATACGTATATTGCAAGTATCGCGTAGTTTATTTTATAGGTACACTCGACGGCGCCGTAATAAAGACCTTCATTAAATCGATTGCTCTACTACGTATATTGTATACACTTGTATGCTGTATTTTACTTGAGTACAGCATATTATTATTATACCGCATGCAATGGTGTCGGAGTATAATATTTCAATAACACTAAGCTAAATACTCTAAGGTCTCAATCAATAACTAAAACAATAGCGGTTTTAATTTTCTTACAATTTCACAGTAGTACACCTACCAAATGTTATGTATGGTGAGCTTGAAAATATTACCAACTATTATTATTTTACTTATTGCCACGATTTGTCACTAAACTATTATTTGTTATTGTGATTTTCTTGTATTTTATCTATTTTATCTATTTTATCTGTTGGCTATAAATTATATACTAGGTAGTTGACATTATTAGTTTTTAATATAAGGCGATTTAAGAAAAACTATTTTGTTTATATTTATAATAATTTAACGTAGCTAAGTTAAGACCTAAGACTTTTATATTTATTGATACTTAAAAAAAGTAAAGTATTAAAGTATTTTCAAATTTATATTTATTAATGTAGGAGTACTTCTAATAACTATACTAAGTAGTTGTACTTTATCTAATTATTTTCTCGTATATGTATACCACGCAATTAATATTTATATACATACAATGTTATTGATTACACTTTGAATTTCTTTATAAAACTTGCCTTGACTTATGTTAATTAAAAACGAAGCTAATAGTTAGTAATTATAGTAAGAAATATTTTTATTTTTTTTTTAATCATCCATAATATCTGCCTAAATAAAATAATATTTAGTGATGTATCATTGTTTTTTTATCAAAATTTCAGTTGCCACTACCATTTAATGATCAATTGATAAAAAATATGTATGATATTGTAATTATATTAATATACTTTTCACTGCTTCCTGTTCATCATCATGATAGCTCACATAGCTTAACCAACAATAACCAAAGACGTTTACTCATATCTATTGTGGGCAAAAAAATTCAATAAATGAAAAAATATTTAATTTTTTTTTTTTAAATAAAGTAAGAAGTAAACGTATAACAATACACCGCAATATACAACCTAAATAAGAATGTATAACTTTATTTTCATTTCTCTCGTTATCATTTCAAAAGTTCATTATATTTGTATTGTTAATTAATTTTTGAGTTTCTTACATTTTATTTAAATGTTGTGATTCATTGGTAAAAATTTCAGATTTATGGAATTAGAATTCAAATTTCAGGTTATTAAATTATAATCAGAGTGTTACATTTTTATTATAAAACCTAAACTTTCATTATACGCTAACTAATCTATTAAACACCTAGTTAATTTATTCTAGTTCCAATCCAATATATAAAACCATCCTAATTTTAAAATTTGTCATTAATATTTAAAAAATTATATAAAGTTAATAAAATAACTGAATTATATATTATGTAATTAAGATATTTATTGTTGTTAGTTTATTTATTGTTAATTTGTTGTTAGTTTATTTATTGTTAATTTGTTGTTAGTTTAGGATTTTTGGATTTTTGGATTTTCGGATTTCAGAATTCAAATTTTCGTATTTCGGATTTTAGAATCCGGTTTTTCAGATTTTTGGATTTTAGAATCCAAAATTTAAATTTACAATAAAATCCGGATTTTGAGTTTGGAATTCCTAAAATCCGGATTTTCACACTTTCGCAAATCTGAATTTTTCCCATCGCTAATACAAATACATGTAAAATAATATAGGTACATGTTTTATCCAACATTTAAACTTCAAAAGTTCAATGTAACTCTGAATTTGGTACAATAATTAACATTATCGAGATAGATAAAATAATAAATTGACGGATATGGTGCTCCTTTGAGTTGTAAGTTTTTTTCAAGTTGAAAGCAAACGATTGCAGTGAAGTCTAGTGGCTGCGTCCACGTAAATCTAAAATTCTAACATCAGTATGGCGTATTTGTGTATCATAAAATCGACGATGATGATATTATAATTTTTTCTTTTTTATTTATATTCAGGAACTGGATAGCAATGACACAATTATTGTCTTTATATATTTCACACAGGTCACCGACCTTGGTACTAATAACACCGTAACCTAAAATATTTTAGCAAATTATAGCCAATTATTAATAAGTATTGTAACATGCAATTTTAAGTATAAATTCGTTCAACGAGTACACGGTTAAAAATAAGTAAATGGTGGCACAAAAATATAGAAATAAAAATAAATATGTTTGGTCGCTAAGATAAATAATCCTACAAGAATGATTGAGGAAAATACATTAGTCATCCGACGGTTGATGTTTGAAAATTCAATAGCAAAATAATTTGTAAATTGTAACTAAAAATTAAATATGAATTAATTATTTAAAACAATATATTTTTATATACACACATAATAAATATATTTAACAAGCTAATGATTAGATTCAGGACTTTTAAATCATCTTGTCGCACTTGAATATTATTGTTACCTCTAAATTCCAAGCGGAGTAATAAATATGTATTTTTAAAACATGATATTTTTGTCTATTCAAATGATTTTGAGTATTACATATTACATTTAAATGTTTGTTCAATCAATGAACATAAAATCTTTCAAAACTGAATATAAAATGTTAAACAATGTTGAACTTCTTTTGAGATTTTTCTGTTCTATTTTTTTTTACTCTTTTGAGTTTCAAAGCGCATGATGAACAATTTATCAAGAATCTATTAGAATAGAAACAAATCGTGGATCTATAACGTTTTAAAGTTTGGGGAAGCTTAACTATTCGACTGACTTGAATTCATTAAAGGTTGCCCAACAATCTCGCTACCAACGTGTTAAATCCTCAAAGTTGATTAACCGATTGATAATAAAAAAAAAAAAAAAATGTTTATTTATTAACATATTATTTTAGTAACCAATCGTCTAATTGACTATTTTTACGGATGTTAAATTTTGGTTGGCGGTACCGAATGAAATTTTACAGACATTTACATAAACATTGCGTTTTCTATCACAGTTCTCGGGGAAAATGTTCGGACGTTCCGACACGACACCGATCACGGTAATATTATTATTATAAAGTGTTGTGCACGGCGTACCAGCCGCATTTCACCGAGCACCTATATAGTCGTACACAGGCCCGACGAGAGATGGGGCAGCAGCTGGGGCTGTAGTCAATGGGTTCCGGGCTTCAAAAAAGACCCGGGGCCTGACTAAGTTCACTACGTTTCGGTCATGACGTCCAGCTATTTATGGATCACCATCATGCTAAAAGCCTACCCAAATAATCAAAGCGTACGCTGTACAGTTGTAACGAGTCTACGATAAAGCGAACGCTACAATACTGATCTAAAACCATAGAATGTATAATGTTGTTATTATTATTTATTTATGTTATTATACATAACTGTGTCTAAAACGTAGACGAATAACATTTTCAAAAAAGACCCATAGGCTCTGTATAATTATTTTCATTTAGTCTGTGAAATAACCATGACTGTGATTACATTATCTGTTTGGTATACACATTTCAAAAGAAGACGCTGACATCCAAGAGGCAAGTTTAATATCTCGCGTGAGAGGGGCCCTTGATCTTTTTCCACGGCCCTGTTCGTACACGCATTGTAAACAATAACGTGTTGTAACGCAACGTGTGCGTTTGGAACTTTTGACGCACAGAGCACCGCCAGATGCGACGGCAACACGTTTCGGGTCGGTGACGCAACAACGACCGAAAAAACAAAAAACCTACCGCGAACATGCCATACCCATCGTTCGCGTGCCCATTGTTGTACGTGCGCACGTAAAGTGTGTGTCCGCGCGGAGAGGTTGTAGGCTGGTGCTACGCACTACGCGCGGGCATATCGGCCCCCCACCATCGACCCGCCAGCGATGCCTGCGCGCTGCGTGCACCGACCGTTCTCGTCCGCAACAACGGCGACATTTACACGGGACAACAATAAACGGAGACGAAAGAAATCACGCGAAAAATATATATATTCGTAACACTTTCGAAATGATATCGTAACGACGGGAGACGGTTGCATGGCGGCTCGCGTGCGACGCGCTAAACGCCACGAGAAAATCGAACGGGGTACGAGAAAGAAAGAAGAGGAAAACCTTTCGCGTAAAACCGCTTCGTGCGTTACAATGTTCGGTCTACGCTGCTCACGTCTTCAACAGTACGGCGCGTCGTCTTCAGTCCGTAGCACACGCACACACGCGCAGCGTTCGCTCCCTCCCCGCTCCCCGTCTGCCTACCGGTCGTCCGTGCTCTCCAACCCGTTGCCACCGCCGCCGCGTACAATAACCGTGACGGTATCCCTCCCCCCCTCCGCAATCGTACACGTATCGTGCGACGCTGTTTATCGCCGACACGCAGTGCACGTACGCGCGGACGTTTTGACGAGACCGGTGCGACATCATCGCTCGGCTGCGGCAGCGGTATATTTACGCCGTACTCGTGGGTAGCGATAGAACTGGAGCGCGTGCGTGCGTGCGCAGAAGTGACAACGCGTACTCGATCGCCCCCGACCCGCGCGCCGCGCCACAGTAGTACGCCGCAGCCAGTCGACAATAGTCCATCGGCGCTGGTCAGCGTTCGTCCGTCGTCGTCGTAGCGTTCGTCCGTCGTTTCGGTTTCGCGACAGTGATACAAGCGTACGTCTCCGCGCGGTAAATCACGACTGTTCTTCGCCACCCTCTTCTTCACCCGTCGCCAACCGTTTCACCCTCCTCCAGTGACCATTACGCGTCCATCCTCGCTCGCTCGGTTATGTGACGCGCGCCACCGGGACCTGAACAGTGTAGCCCTCGGGCTCGGCCAAAACCACTCTCGTCTTGGAGTCAAGGGTTTTTTCCCCTCCGATGTTGCTGGACGACAAAGCCGTGCAAGATGGTTAAAAGGTACGTGGGTCTCGGCGAACGTGATCCCTCATTTTTTATTACGTGTTTTACGCATGTGCTGTGTTATTGCCTGGTGGTACGTTAGAATCTAACCCAACGGTATAGTTCCTTCAATGTTATGATATCAACAGAGTCGACTACTACTACGGTACCAAAATGTGTAGAGTGTCTTTCACCAGCACACTGTCTGGTCATTTGATCCGTGCCGATTTGTATGTTTATCAGATAGCTTACTCTGGTATCATTTAGGTACTCGATATCTTTATCAATTTTCATCAATCAAAATAGTTGTTTTTAACAGCTTGTACTTCATTAACCTACTTTAACTGATAAGTTTATATTATAACAGTACTGTTCAAACTATTTCTGGAACCAGTTGAAATATATTATCCTTACATATCTATCTATTACAATTAATTTTTTGATTTTTTTACTGTAGTTGTTTTGCTCTTCTTGTTCTACTTTAATTTGAATCTTTAGCTAGATGGCACTGCACCACTATTCTAATATTAATTTTTTATACAGAATTATAGTGATCTTAGGTTGACTTAAATTTCAACCAATTCAAATTTTGGTATTTTTATAGATATTTTGTTTACCATTTTTCAAAATAATACTGTTATAAATACTTAATTTGGTCCCAGAAGTTCATACATCTAAATATACTAAAGTATGAATTAAGATTTGCTATTTAATTAAAATATACTTACCTATCCGAAATATGCGATGTAAAATTAACAAATAACCTTTAAATATGCCCTAAAAAAATTAAAAATAGCCAAAAAGAAGTATAGGTAGTGAGTTTTTTTTCTTATAGATTTACAAAAATGAAAATTTTTTTCTATTTTTTTATTCAATATAAACGAGATTTATGAAAAATAAAAAATGAAGCATTATATTATGCATATTAGAAGAAAATAGTACCAAAACTTAAAAAATAGCACTAAAAATCTAAAATATTTCAAATATTCAGTAAATAGCAATACAACATTTCATATATAGAGTTCCATGCGCATAAAAAAAATGTATAGCTCACTGTGTTATTTTTATCTGTATTCTAAAATAATTAGCAAATTCATTAAAATCAGAGCTCTGGTGATAATGTATAAAAAGTTTTGTGTAACAAAACAAATTTTAAATTATCAAAAATTATAATGTATTAAAAGGCAAATATTCTTTGTCTCCTGGCATAGATCTATCTCATCCATCCCTAACTCCCTTTGGTTCTGGAACTTAGAACTTTCCACAATCTTCTCTTTTCACATAATTTTTCTCCATCTCTTTTTCTTTTTCTTGACTGATAACTCTGCAAACTTTTCTTTTTTAGCTACTCTTCCCCTGATGTGATACTTCTTAATTCTTATTCTTTTTTCATCATCTCACTCATTATTAATTTCATCTTCAACGCAGGTTTCCACATTTAAACTATGTTAATTTATTTAAATTTATTGTAAAAGATCTTACCTATTATCATGTAACACAAATATTTTATACTGTATATTATTATACTATTTTTTTACAATAAATCACATAATGCCGGCGACCATGTAGTGTGGTGATAATATGATTTTATTTTTGACGCCATATGCCCGCTGGGAACTAAATGGCAAACATACTTTTATTTTCTAAATTATATTTGTTTTAATTTTTATGTAAGTAATTTCACTATCAAAATAGCTAGCTCAAGTAGCCCAAAGAGGTAGCATATGATAATAAAATAGTTCATCATTTTTATAAGATTAACATAAAAATATGATTACAAAAAAAATATTTATTTATTGAAATACATTAGTGGTTAACTGTTTGTCTTAATATAATATAATTGAGAAATAAAATAATTTAAAATAAAATTAATGTTTTACAAAAAAAATCAATTTTTATACTTTAACTTGCAGGGCTAGAATTAAACATGAAATATTAATATTAAATTATAAATTAATTAAGAAATATATGGGAAATATACTATAAAACATTAATTTTTGCATTCTTTTAATCAAAATATGCAATAATATTAATTTTATTCAATATATGCAATAATCCAAAATATACAAAAACATGCAAAATAAAAACACCACCATTTATCTCATCATGAGGTGGTTCATGGACATTATTGACAAAATCAATAATCAGAAGTTGCGAAAAAAACATGCTGTTGCATACAAATCCTAGTCCTAGTAATAATGATCAATTATGGAAGAAAGCAGGTATAAAAGTACAAAATTTTAACATTTGCAGTATGATTGCTGGTGGGCATGTGTCAGCCAATGTGTTATTGATCTTTTTCATATATGTATATTTTTTAATCTGAATTTCCATTATTATTAGTTTGAATCTATTAACATTAAATAATTTGATGGATTAGTATATATAAACATTTTTCATTATTTGTTTGTTACAGAAATGATCCAAATGAAACAAAAAAAAGTAGCTCAAAACATGAAAACGCTGTTAAATATGGCGAATTGATCATACTTGGGTGAGTACTTCTTTATAATATACTAGCTGAATTACCCGTCGTTGCCGGGTTTAAGTATATAAATGTATGTAACCTGCCAAGATTAAATTTTGTTAAATCTATTGAAATTTAAATTAATTAAGATTTTTGAAATAATATTTTATACATATTAATTTAGTTATTATCATAACCTATTCGATAAGTTATAGCTTACAACTACCTGAACCTCTCTACAGTTTGGTATTCTGTTGAATACATATAGCATCTCACTTCTCCGAATATTTTACCTTTTGTCAATAAGTTCATGGTCTTTTTGACTTTTAACCGAAACACTCTTGCAATTATATCATGTCGATCATATGATCTTTGACCGGGAAGTAAGAGCTCTTTTATCTCGTTCCAGCGAGGATTACATGTAAAAGTAATAAAAAGGTCAGGACGACCGTAATGTCTAACGTAGGTCATAGCATCTTGTGTTCTTTCGTGCATGTACCTTGGCCTACCAGTAAAAGTTGACGGGAGTATAACCATTTGGCCTAACTGATTAGCTTCTATGTCTTGTCGTCCAATCGCATCTTTTAAATGAATATAACTATCTGCACGCAATTTAGCTTGGTTGTTTTTGATGTAATTTAGTCTTTCAGTTTCAATTTTGGCATATTCATCTACCAAATATTGACTGAAAAGAGAACGATAATTAACTAAATAGTTGTCTTCTCCTTCTCTGACCATTATTCTATATGAGTAAAAACTTGATGCAGAGACAGTTTTTTTAAGCGGTAACTTGGTTTTTGAATCGCGTTGTGGTATATTGATTGCATACCCATCATCCCCCCAACAAAACATTAAAGGATACTGTAGTGCATATTATGCTCAATGTATCTCACTGATACGATGAAGTGAGTTACTTCAGTTTTCGAGGATGATGTCTCTTCGATCAAACTGCTGATCTACTAACACTAAAGCAACTTCATTTGCCGTTGGTGCATTATACCTGTCTCTATGTTCTTCTGGTGGTTTTTTATCTGCATGTATTACAACTTTAAATGACTCTGAAGGAGGTATTTTATCGATGGTAAATTGTAATGATCAATTGTAAATTATGCGGTGGCATAATTTAAATTATGTATAAATTCTGTATAAATTCTTTATATATATTTCTACCATGAATTGTTGACAAAGCTTATGCATCGTAAAATAACTTAGTCCTGATCGCGTCTAATCATCAACCGATATGCATAATAATTTTTTGAACTAACATTCTTATTTTTTTTGGCACCTGTTGCGGGATCTTTTTGTTTAATATTTATGCAATACCCGTTTACTACAAAAATAAAATTAATAGTTTTTAATAGTTTTTTAGTAAATTTTAATAGTTTTATTTAATATAATTCATTTTCAATAGCGCAGTTATCGACCCGGTCAAAAAATATTAAACCGATTTCAACCCTTTAAATTCAAAATTTCGAAAAATCCTTTCTTAGCGCACGTCTACATCATAATAGCTATCTGTATGCCAAATTTCAGCCAGATCCGTCCAATGGTTTGAGCTGTGCGTTGATAGCAGTCAATCAGCTTACTGTTTTATATATACAGAAGATTTGTCATATTATTTTTGGTATAACTATTTGCTTAAATTATTTTTTTATTAAGGATTTTGATATATCTATTTTATGTTCTTCTATAAAATTAGTTTTTATTTATTATTTTTATTAATGTATAATTTTTTAGATACAATGGCCAGTTGACAGCTGGTGATAAACGTAGACGACGAAGTAAATTTGTTTTATGGAAGCGAGATGTGCCTAATGGTATTAAACGATCTAATCATTATGTGGTGCCCAGTCCACAGAGTTCACATGTATGTATTCTATTATATTACCATAAAATGTTTATGATAGGGAAATTTTCCAGGATGAATAATGTGACTAATAATATTTTCATTCATGTGTTTAATTTTTGAAAAGATGTATTGTTAGTATAACCAAACTTTTAGTATCTATCAAATGTTTTTTGTATGTCATCCATAATCATAACTAAGGTTGTGAATCAAATGCAGTTAAAATCCTTAAAATGAATTTAAAATCTCAAAATGTGCAATAAAATAGGCATTAATTATGTCAAAAAATGCACTTAAAATTATTTAATTATTTATTAATTAATTTTTAATTAATTAATTAAATTGAATTATTATCTAACATTTTAGAATAACATATTTATTTATGAGTACCTTATTCGTCTTTACTATTGCATTGGACAACAAGTGTTTGATGTTGTTAAATAAAAAAAATGACCGTCGATTGTTTATCAATAAATGATTGTTTGCCGAATAACTTTTAACATCTATAGATGTAATGGAGCATATGGCATAAAAGCTATGTAATTAGGTCATCAGAGCTAAGATACATTTTGGAAATTTCAATTCTCAAGTATTTTCTAAATATTGTATATAGTATCAAATAACATATTTTTTCATAGAATTTAATTTCATTAGATTCATAAAATAAAAATTTATCATATACAGTGAACGCCGCTTATAAGACTTACTTTAGAACCAGTACAAAGTGAGTCTTATAACCGAATGAATTCACAAAGTGGAAAAAAAACAAGATATTTATGAATTTTTTTTTTTCACAACATATATCATACTTTTTTAAAATGGCTTTTTTTTGTCACTCAAACTAAGAGCACTCATGTTAACAACAAAAAAAGAATGTTGTAACTTGAATGGCGACTGATTGACAATTGTGCATTGAAACGATTATACCATCGTCCTTATCAATAACGATACCTGTGGCGAGTAAAATCAGGAGTGTATTTATAATTTATAATTACGATAAATGTGAAATGCGATATAATTTGTTGTATATATACACATATTATTAAGCATGAATTAAAACCAGTAATAATCTAAAATTATATGTAATTGTTAAAACCAATTTATTTCAAAATTTCAATCAAAAATTTTCATTTTCTACTATTTTTTTTTTTACCAAATTTTAATCTTATAAACGAAGTGGTGAATCTTATAACCAAATTTTTATAATGTATTTGGATACGTCCGGACATTTCCAGACGACTTTATGTATATTTAGCAACTGAACTTTATGTCCGTGAGTTATGTAAGTGGTGTCTACTGTATCGTATAGAGCTTGTGTTTTACAAAAATTATGTGTTTAATGATTGTAATTGATTGAATTTGATTAAAAATACTGGAAAATGAACTAAAAAGCAAAATATGACTTAGAAAAGAAAAGAAAAATTACTAAAAAGTTTATAAACGCTGAAAAATGCAAAATAAGAGTTTTGTTATAGAATTTACATATTTCAAATGATGTATTTAGGAAGCTACGTTTCACGATTAACTAAAAAATGCACTTTCCTATAAATTTATACTTAATTATAAAATTATTGTGCATTATTTATATTTATCTATTTTGTTTAGATTAATTAAGATATTAATTAAATATTAGAAAATTTAAAATTAATTCAAAAAAGTGTCTAGAATTCTTACAAACTAAAATAAAAGCTTTTTATTTTTTATAAATAATTTTGTAATTTTAATATTTAATAGACTAACCAAAATATAAAAATTATATTATTAATTTTGAAAAACTATGTTTTTTCTATTATTTATTTTATTCATTTATGTGTTGACATATTTACTCTATTATTGATGAATAATCGTGGTTTAACTTTTTATATGATTACAATTTTTTTGTAATGTGTAAAATAACATAGAAAATTAGTTTTAATTATTAATAATAATTAAGATACCAATGTTAGACTACAATATATGTTAAAAATAGCCTTCAATATTGATTCTCATAATTATTATTTTATTTGCATCTATTTAAGATACAATACATTTAGATAATATCACTTTTTTTAAATATTATATTTGAGGCTACAATGTTTATCTATCCTTGGTCAAAAAAATATGCTTAACAAAATTAAAACTAGTTTAATTTATATTAATATTTTAACCTATTATTTATTTAAAGATTTTACCAAAAACGGAGTTACTCATGTACATTACTAAGTTTTTTATGTTATTAATTTATAAGATATTATCATCTTCGTCCTTCCAATTTGAAATTTTATTTTGGAAACTTGGAGTAGTAAAATATTTAAGATTTTGACAAAGAAAAATATTCAAATTTTCTTATGAAAATATTTATAATAATTTTTTTATTTTTAATTAAATGTGTAATAAAAACAATAATAATTTAATTTGTTTTAGGCCGTACTTGACAAAACTCAGCATTCCATTTCATATACATTGTCTAGAACTGAAGCGGTGATAGTAGAATATGTTAACGATGAAAACACTGATATGTTTCAAGTAATATTTAAATTATAATTAAAATTGTTGTTGGAAACTAACTTTTTAGAATTTAATTATTATTGTATTTCTTATAAATATATTATAACATATTATTTATATTAAACACTATTAATAAATATGATCACAGTTCCAAATGCTTATACCTATTACCCATTTTACATTTCGAGTTAAATAATAAATGTATTGGTTTTAACAAATAGTTTTTTTAAATTGCTTTTGTGTTCGCACAATTTAAACTAGAAGAATTAGTGAATCATCACTATTATGAGAATATTTGTATTCATCTTGATGTCTTATTTGGTATGCAGGGAGATTATTTTTTGAATTTTTCAACTTTTTTCAATTAAAGGAGAAAAATTGAAAAAATGACAAAAACCTTAATCGAGATCTAGTTTTGATACATTTTCAAGTATTTATATTAAAATTTTATAGATATCATAAATATTTCATAATTTTCAAAATAGTTTAATACAATTTGTACTGTTTATTGCCAATTGAAATTTTTGATTAAAAGTTAACCCACTTCATTAAGATATTAGGTTTTACTTTTATATCAGGGATGGGCTACTCAAAGTAACTAGAGGGCTAATTTTTAGAACTTTAAAATCTGGCCGGTCATAGTAAAGAAAGCAAAAATGAGAAAAAGGTCACTAAATATATAGTTAGCATTTATTTTAGTTAATTTAATTTTACGACTGAACCAATTCAATAAAATAAGTGCCTAATACCTATAGCTAAGTTAGCTATGCCGATATGGATATATATGTATATGGCATAGTCAACAGGGGGAGGGGGCTAAGGGGCTATAGCCTCCTCTCAATGGGTCGTGTATATGTGTATGTACTAAACTAGTATACTACTATTTGGTATTTAAATATTTGAAAACTATGGAACTAACTAAATGTTGACGAATAACAGGTGTTTGTCATTGGTTAATATATAAGGGTATTACTTCTACCGTGATTACTATTATATTTTTGGTAGTTATTGTGAACATTGTGGTGACTTTCATTTAACACTTACATTTTATAATCACTTTAATTTTTATGCTATGTATATATCATGAAATATATTGTGGCGATGCTATCGCAGCAGACCACCGTTAATTTATTATTATTACTAATTATATTTTAATAAATATTATTAAAACTATTTTTAAATGTTAGAAATACATTTTTAAATTTGGTGGTGGGGAGGGTTAATGGGTGAACTCTGAAAACCTTTCTTACTTAACCTGCCCAAAAAAGTATTTAGCCCCTCTCATTTAATGTCTATGCCACCGATATACATTATATTAAAACATTTAATTTATAAGCTGGATTTCAATATTATAGAAAAATATATTATCTAAACTTTATGGTTGAAGTGATAAAATTAAATGGTAAAATATTATGAAGTGATATCAAAATAGCATGTGCCAGATAGAAAAAGTAGATAAGTAACTGGGCAAGTTTTCCATCCTTGTTCTATATCAAACATCTTTAGAAAATAAACTGGTCCACACAACCTTCTTTTTTACTCAAAAACACTCAAAAACGTTTTTTCAAGAGCAGCAGTAAATTTATTTCAAGTTTAAAAGACCAATACAGATATATCATTCATCTGTTCTCATATCTCACTCAATCGTTTTGAATTCTCACCTTTTTTTTTGTATATTTACACTATAAAAATAATTTACTTTATATTATTATTTTGTTAACACTATTTTATAGGTTGGCCGTTCCTCTGACACACCAATTGACTTTGTTGTTATGGACACCAATGCTGAAAAAAATGCAGCCGCTATTAATAACCAACCAATTATAGAGAATAAAAAAACTGCTGCAGCAAGTACGATATCAAGATTTGCTTGTCGTATAATATGTGACAGGAACAATACAAGTATAGCTCGTTTATACGCTGCAGGGTTTGATTCATCAAGAAATATATTTTTAGGGGTAATAAAATGGATGATTTATCTTTAGCAAAAGCGAATTTATTGAATTTAAAAAAAAAGTATCCTATAAGGCATATGTTCATATGTATGTTCATAAATGTAGGAAAAAGCAACCAAATGGAAAGATGGTGAAGAAATTGATGCACTTACTACAAATGGAGTTTTAGTAATGCATCCAAGTGGAAAGTTTCACAAGGGAAACACGGAACCAGGTATTTGGTTAGAAGTATCGGTTTGTGGGAAACTTTTCTCATTACGAGGTTCAAGATCAGCACAACTTAAAGGCGACATGGTATGTTATTTAGTTATTGACATTAAATGTTGAATAAAAAAAATGTATTACTGATTTTCTATTATATTTTCTAGGTTAAAGATTCTGATAATATTTTAACTGATGGAACTTTAATAGATTTATGCGGTGCAACTCTACTTTGGAGGTCGGCTGAAGGACTTAGTTTGTCTCCCGTAATTATTTTATTTTTTTATTTTATATTAATACTATGCATAATTGGTTACTATAAATAGAAATTGGTTATAACAATATTAATTAAAATTAAAAAATTGGTTAAGTTGATCAATATTTTGCAATTCTAGTATTAATCAGTCCAGTATTTTCTAAAACATTATTTAATATTATTAAAAATTTTATCATATTAATTTTTTTTTACTTTCTTTGCTAATATAAAAGAACACATTTTTAAATTCGAAAATTCTATATTTTTATGTGAATTGTTGTGCATTGTTATTACTTAAAATCAAGAAAGAACTGTTAATAAATCTTATGTCTATATTTTAATACTATTGATAATAGTCCACAAAAAAAAAGAAAAGAAAAGAAAAAAACAATTGCTGAATATAGTTTTTTTTTTACATTTTTAGAGTAGGGAATACTTGAAGAAGCTGATTGAAAGAACAAACCGTGAACGGCCTACGTGTCCTGTTGGACTTTATACATTAGTATTTCCTCATCATTCAGAAGAAACTGCTACAGTAGCATCTTCAGAGCTTGTTGATGTTAAGCAACAACCATATGCATACTTATCATGTGGTCATGTTCAGGGTCGTCATGAATGGGGTCTAAATAAGGACTCAAACAATAGAACATGCCCAATGTGTTTAAAAGTAATTTGAATAATTACAACAATAATCTTATCAGTTTTAATATTTAACTATAAATAAACCTTAATACTTCCAGGTTGGTGGTATTGCTAAATTAAGTATGGGTATAGAGGCTTCATTTTATGTTCAAGACAAGGAGAAACCTGATTTATATGCTTTTAATCCATGTGGCCATGTTGCTACAGAAAAGACAGTGAAGTATGTTATAAGTGCTAAGTATTTATATTTGAAAATAAAACATAAAATTATTTGGTTTTAATATATGTAGTACAACACGTTTTTAAACTATAGATAGTAATTTTAAAGAATACTTATCACTGATTAAATTTAAAAACTTAAATAAAGTTTTAATGATGGAGATGTTTTAAATTTAAATTTTAAGTTAATAATACAATTTCTATAAAAAGTATTCATTATTTATTTATTATACATTTTATACATATGCTATCTATTTATAATTATATTTTTTAATTATTATTGTATATATTTTGAATTTGAATTATTTAAATCAACAAGTGTTATTTTATTTTTATAGATTTTGGTCTAATGTAGGAATTCCATATGGAACTAATGGATTTGAAGCATTTTGTCCGTTTTGTGCTACATTACTTGAAGGATACCCTGGTTATGTTAAGTTAATTTTTAATTAGTTTTATGATTATACTTAATATAATACACACTTTTAATTGTTAATATTGATTTATCCTTGTCATCATTTAGTGTGTGATAATATTAGTTTTCTGTCTTTTATGTGAATTTTTGAATTTTTGTAAGTATTTTTTGAATTATAATTAATTTTTTGATCTGTATATTTTTGAAATTATAGTGATAATTAAATTGTATAGGCTCAAAATAGGCAATATTGAACTGTTAAAATGTTTAATTACTTTTTGCTTTCAGTGTAGTATTGTTATACTATTTTATGATGTGATCACTTATTGTCGTAATATCTACAATCACTTGCAAATATGTCAAATTTACGAGGTAATTTAATAGTGACAATCTGTTGATACATTGTTTTCTTACAAATCTCAATCTATGCATTAAATATTTAATTTAATATCTTTACAGTGTATCTTTTAAAGATCTTACTACATAATTTTAGTTTAAATGTATTGTTATATAGTATTACTGTCATTAGGGTTGCCATTAGTGTGATTATTCATATGAAGATGATTTTATTTTGAAAATTTTTATTTTTACACTATTTATTGAATATTTGAAATTAGAAATACATATAATGTTCATTTTACTTGATGAAGTAATTTTGAAAGATATTTTTAAAATAATAAAATAAATGTACTAATTTTTAAAATGTAGAAAAAGCTGAAATCTCATACTGTATTCTGATTATATTCATGTGTTATAATAAATTATTTTTACTGGGTACTAACTACTCAAATACTTTTTCAAAATAATATTTTAAATATTGTATAAAATTAGTTCTTGTTTTACTGGTTAATTAAGTATTATAGATAGATGTATGATTATCAATAGATTATGACCAGTGAACAGATTTATATGCAGAATAAACTCTTAAAATATGCTCCTAAAAATACTTAAATATACTACAAAATGTTAATTAATTTTTTTATACTCACTTAAAAATTGTTATACTAAACAGGAAAAAAATCAATATTAGGTATTATTAAGAAAAATAGGTTGTATGAAAACTTCATTGTATATATCTTTCGTTATTTAGTCTTCTTCAATAATAATATTCATTATTTCCAGTTATAGTCAACCCAATATATATTTAAAAAAGTGAAATATAAATATTTTATCACTAAATTCATATTTATTAATTTACCTTTTTGTACTATATGGTCAGATCAAACATTTTCTCTAATTAAAAATGTGCATGAATTAAATAATATGTTTTAAAAGTTAAAAATATATAAAATAAAATATTTGTTATTTTTATTGGAAAGATTTAATTCATGTAAATGTTTTGTCTGATTTAAAATAGATATCATTATAATTCTTTTTTCCCTTAAATTATATTTCTTTTACTTTTATTTTATAATGTATATTTATAAAAAAATTAAAAGCAAAATTATTTTAAAAAAAATTATTTTAATTGTATTTGATATACTTCATATAGTTATATTTAAAATAGTATTCAATACTATGATAATTATATAAATAATGATTCTCAAATATTTTATATCACTCACTTTATACATTATTTTTAATATATGCTCTCTGAGTTACGACTTATTTTAGAAATATGGATGGGACTAAATAATGATAATTGCATGCTCAAAACTTAATAACTTTATTAAATAGTTACATGGCAACCCTATACTCATCTAGATACAAACATTATCTATTATTGTTAAGAAATTAACTTAGTGCTGTTAGTTTGATTTTGAATGTTATATCGTTTGCAATGTTGAAATTTTTTTTATTTTATTTTTTTCCTGAGTTTTTTCTTTGATTTACTAAGATCCATTTGCAAGGTGTGGTGCAACTAAATTATTATATATTTATTACTACATCAATATGTGTACTGTTTTTTTATATTAATGTAACAAATTCTTATAGTACAATATTGTTATGTGACTAATATACAAAATTTAATCATACGTTCAACGTTGAAATTTGTATATAATATATTTAATTGCACAGTTTGATTTAAAAAATGTATATATTATCGATGAGTAAAACGGTGTGATATTTCAAGACTGCAATCTGCTAAACATATTATAAATCTATTCAAATAATATTAGTATTAATAACTTTACTATTATATATATAGCCTATTAATACCTAGACATTTAAAATGAATCAATGAGATAATGCAATACTTAATACTTAAAGTATTGTTGATTGCCTTAAGTAAAGTTTTTCTACCATTATTGGGGTTTATTTTTTTCAAAAATAAATATTTAAAAACACCAAAACAACTTTTATCGAGCACTTGCAGTCATCCAAGTTTTATATATATTTTTTAAATTTAATTTCATTGTTTATGTAATGAAAAATATGCATAATTATTATAAATTATTTTGAAAATGTTAAAAAATATTTTAGAAATATAGTTGTATATAATTATTATTTTATTTTTTATTATCTTGATTATTATTTTAATTTTATTATATTTACAAAAATATACTCCTGTTTTTTTTTTTTATTTGTGTGAAGTGGTTTTGTCATTTGATTCTAAAATGATTGCAGATTATAGTAAAATTGTATTTCAAAAGAATAAGTCCAATTACTATAATAAATCAGTATGATATTGAATTGTTAATTTTTAATATTCAACACCTAATGGTACATATTAAGATAAATATAATTAAATATTTTTAAATTTTACTTTGGTAATGTACTTGACTTAAATGTATGTGTTACAGTAATGATATAGGGAATGAATCATTATGTAAAATAGTTAATCATTATAATTTATATATCGAATTTATTTACCTATTATATTTAAATATTTTGATGAAATAGTCCAATGAAATATACTAATCGATATGCATCAAACATAAAATGTCACGTTTATAAATGTAATTGGCAATTAATGCAAAACTTGTATGAATTTTGTAGTTTATTATGTTTAATAGTTTTTTTTTTTTTTATAATTGTGTTAAAAAGAAATTATGTTATCATCACAATTGCTGGTATCTGTTTCATTCAATATGTGTTGTGTTTTAAAATTAATAAAATATTTATTTTCAGCTACTCAATTTATGTCTTTTTACTAAAAGTTAATTACTTATTTTCACGGATTTTTTTTTTTTTTTACAACATTAAGTAAGTTAACGAGTTTTCTTAAAAAAAAAAATCGAATTATGCCTCCTAATCAAATCAATAATTCAACTATAATTCAATTCATTCTCACACTTATAGTATATTTTTATATATTCAAAAATAATTATTAATTTATAATTCTTATTATGTGCTTACTTGCGTTACACTAGTTTATTAAATGTTTTTTGATTTTCTTGACTTTGAAAGATCTATTGTATGTTAGTAAAGTTTTATAGGCCGAAAATTATCTTTCTACGTTTACCCATATGCTTGGAACATATTTAAAATATATCCAAGTCTTCTGGTAAGTCTTTCATATCAATTAATTTACCATTAAAAGTGTTTTTAATTTTTTTTTAGCATAACAACACTAATATTTTTCTTGGTATTCCGTTAATTGTTCTTCGAAAATAGTTCGCGTGACAATTATTTGCAGAAAAATTATTCGAATAAGACAATTGTTCGTTCATAAATTGTTCGTAAAAAAAAAAAAAAATATGACTTGATTATCATGTAATATATTTTGTAATCTATACGACGTTTAATAAATAACATACTATTTTATTTAGTATGAAATGTGTGAAGTTTTAAAATCATATCGATAACTTAACTCGTTATCGAAAATTATATAATGGGCACAAAAATCCTATTGCTAATGTGTTCTGAAATAGTAGGTAAATATAGGCATTTGAAGTATTCATTTTTGTTTAGTTTTTTTTTTTTATAAATATTTATAAAAATTAAATTTTAATACAATATTTTCCATAAGTTTGACTGACAATAAAAAACTTACGAGTATCATTTATTTGAAATTTAAAGCAATACGTTAACGTTTATATTTTTTTTAGGTTCCCTTATCGGTTGCAGATCAATTACCCAGCATAGCTAGTTAGAAAAGAACAATATAACGTGCTCGTCGAACTAAATGCTCCTGTAAACTATATAAACTTTAGTTTTGATATTCCTGAAGAATTTATAAAGATAACAAATGGTGACGATTTTTTTTCTTTTTGATAACAAATCGGATACAAAAAGATTTGTTTTCAACAAAAAAATAGTTTGGAGTTAATGAATAATTGCCTTAATTGGTTTTGCGATGGTACTTTTACTTGTTCACCTATTTCGTTTAAACAGTTATATACCATTCACGTTGTACATTATTCAAATGTTATTCCTTCTGCTTATGCTTTTCTACCTAACAAAAAAGAAGATACTTATCTATATACGAATGTTTAAGGCTCTTAAATCATTAAACCAAAATTTAAATCCCGAGTCTTTTATGATAGATTTTGAAAAAGCAGCTATGAATGCTGTTAAATCTGAATTTCCAAATATTTTTATAAATTGATGTTTATGTTGATAAATATATGTGATCATCTATCACAATGTATTTGGTGCCATTTACATGAAGCAGAGTTACAAAAAAATTACATACAAAATTCTGAATTTGCCTTACATATTCGTATGTTTCCTGCTCTTGTTTATGTGCCACAAAAAAAAGTTATTAAAGACTACGAAAAACTTTTAGATTCTGAATACTTTTCTGAAAATGAAGAACTTTTAATACCAATTATAGACTACTTTGAGGGCACCTGAATTGAGCGTTTGCATTGTAGATGCCAAAGAAGAGATTCGATCATCCCCATTAGTGTATAGAATTGTTATGATTTAGTAGCGGCAGACCTGCCATGAACTAATAATTCAGTTGAAGGATGGCACAATTGTTTTTTCATCTATACTTAATTCATACAAATATCTATCAATTTGGAGAATTATACATGCACTCCAAAAAGAAGAAAGTATTAACCGTGCTGTAAAGTATTCGAATAAAAGTATTCAAATACTTGTTTAAGTATTGAATAATTTTTTAAATACTTTGTTTTTTTTTTCAAAAATTTTATTTTTATTCAAAATATTTGGTTGGAAAAATATTGCCATCTATAATCAAAGCCCGAAGGTTTGTGAGAACCAGGTTTCTAAAAATAGATATTCAATAAAAAAATTTCCTTTTTTATTATTATATCGGTAACTATTAATATCAGATACGATATCTACCTGGTTATACGGGATTGCGAGAATAACAGATTTTCTCATAAATCACTATATAGTTGCAAGTCAACACCGTTTTTATTCATTCATTTAAAGACTTGTGTAGTTGTGTTTATAACCTACTAGTTACTACAATTACTTCAAATTTTAATATGAGTAATTCTAACCAAAATACTGATGATGAGAGTGATTCAGAACCACATATTGCATCCCTTTTGACTATTTCTCTGTAAAATATTAGTTTACCATGGCCTTATTACTCCAAATATTTTTTACAAAAGTATTTGAAAAGTATTCCAAAGACTTTTTAAAGTATTTGAGTAGTATTTAAAATACTATACAACAGTGGCGTGCGGTAATATTTTATCTTGGGTAAGCGCTAAAATAAAATTTCAAATTAAAACAAAAAAAAAGGTATTTTATTGATAAAAAATAAAAATTACAATCTAAAATTTATTTATAGATAAAATCCATTCGTCTTTCATGTTTTAAAAATTCGTTAATAACTTTGTCATAAAATTCTGGATGATTTTTTTCTTTGTGCAGGAGTTCCTTTTCGATTGAAATTAATGATAATGAACTAAGTCTTTCTTGACCTTGTGTAGATCTTTGATACGATTTGATTCGTTTTAATACCGAAAAAGAACGTTCAACTGAATCTGTTGTACTAGGAATAGTTAAAATTAATTGACTGAGTTTAAATACTTCTTGGGACGTCGATATTAAATCATTTATCTTAATTTTTTTGACTAAATCATATGGATTAATATTTAAAAATTCTTCAGATGTGTATAATACAATTAATTCGTTTCGTAATCTAATAAAATCAAATATTTCTCCGAAAATTGACTCTCGCAAGTTTTCTAGAGCAGAGCTTGGAAATTCGTTCGTGTAGTTTGAATATTTACTTGGGTCAACTAATGACAAAAATTCAAATTTATTTAAAGAACCAAATCGTGCTTGCAAATTTGTCAATATGATATCAATTATTTCATTAAAAAGTACTTTGTAAAATGTTTTCTGGTCACGAATTTTACGCTGTAGCTCAAAATCGCCTTTAATAAAACTGTTTCCCATAATTTTTCAAATAGATTTAACCAATAATTTTGTAGTTGACATTTAGTTTCTTCAATTTTTTTTCTCACAATATAAAATATCTAAACGTTTAGTTTGTAACACTTCATATAAAATATCAGTCAAACTAAATATTATACTAAATACTATTAGTAAAAAGTATGTTTGTCGAATATCCAAAAAATTGATGAACCCTTGAGATAATACTATCGCTTCATTACCCCAATCATTGGAATTATCTAATACGTGTTGAAATATGAATTGTATTCATGAACCGTATTTACTAAGCTAGAAGAAAAATTCCATCTAGTCGGCGCATTTTTTGGCATTTTTTTTCTTGTAAAATTAGATAAAGCATGTGTACGTTTAGAAGATTTAGTAAAAAATGATGCCATACCAGTTAGTGTTTGAAAAAAAATCTTACAGTCTTTTATATTTGATGCTGATTGTGAAAATACAAGATTTAATGAATGACTAAAACAATGGACAAACAATGCTTTTGGGTAGGGCTCCTTTACTTTAACTTGTAGTCCTCCAACATGACCACTCATAACGGCCGCTCCGTCTTAAGTTTGAGCTACTAATTTATGTTTTAATTCATACCTATTAACTATATCAACTACGTGTTTTAATAAACCGTCTGCTGCTCTATCAGCACTAACGTTGACAAATGAGGTAAAACGTTCATGTGCTTCCCCAGTTTCATGCTGGACATACCTTAAAGTTGTTGATACTTGAGACAGATTTGTTATGTCTGAAGTTTCATCTAATAATATTGTAACAAAATTATAATTTTTTATTTCTGATTCAATGGACGTTGATATGATGTTGCTAATTGAGCAAATAAGATCATTTTGAATTCTATTGGATGTACCACGGAATATTTTTGATGTTTCTAAATGCACGTTTAAAATAGAATCATAAGATGATAATAAATTTAAACAACCGAGGAAATTTCCTTGATTGAAAGAATCAACTCTTTCATTGTGACCATTAAATGGTAATTCATGGATCGCCAAAAAACAAACACAATCAATAAAACGTTTTAAAACGTCTTTATTTTTTTTTACCAATTCATTATAGCGTATTACATCTAAACGTTTTTGTTCATCAAGCTGCAAATCAATTCTAGATTTTCCAAACTTTTTTAATTTTAAAACTGAAGAAATATGTGTTTGAGATCTTTCATGTTTTTGAATACCATTTATTAAATTATTGAAATTAACAAAACCACTATGAGACCAAACATTTTTTTCCCTGGTGAATAAAACACAAGGCCAACAGAACATTTTATTTAATTTTGCACTACCAGCCAACCATGAAGTATTAAAATAATTAGAAATATTAAAATGACAAATGTAAACTTTGTTTTTTTCTTTAAGATAAGATGTCAATTTTGAAATTTTCGGACATGGTTGACCATTTTTTACAATTGTTAATTTTTCATCAACATTTTTTTAAATTAAATTCATTTTCCAAAAGATGCTTGATTAATCAATTGTTTGAATCAGTATTCATTATCTATAAAAACAAATATAAACAACGAATATAATTTGATTCCTCTTAATTATAATAATTTTATTTATTTAAATATTAATTATCTATACTAATTCCATAAAATTATGCAATAGGAATTTAATATACTTACATTAAAAATTTTTTGTTCAACAAAAAATTAACTATGAAGACTTGTGGACACGTTGACGGTTGACGGTTGACGACAAAATAATTTATTTATCATAAGTATAGTATAGTATAATATAAGTAGTATAGTTATAACTTATAATATGTATATTGAAAACAAAAATAATCCGATATGCATTGTAAGAATATTGGAATTTCGTTTTTAAAAATATCGATAAGCGCTCGGCATAGCGCTTTCATCCATCACGTAAAAACGTGTATATCCCCTTCTACCACAACTGGTCATTCCTATAAATAACTATATAAGAAAGGCAATCTAAAATACTAACGCTTCTGTAGAGAAATTGCCTATACAAAAAAAAATCATTTAATTTTTTTCAAAATCTGATACATTTTTTTAAATTGAACACAAAAATAAGAATTAATAAATATTTGTAATTTTAATGTTTTAATGTAAACAAATTGTCATTTAACATCAGAAATATTAATCTTTTTATTTTTTCCTTTTTGGCTGGGCATGCGCCGCTTACCTAGCTTGTCCTGACCGCACGCCACTGCTATACAATCAAAGTATTTGAGTAGTATTTTAATTACTTGAAAAAAAATGTATTTGAGTATTTACTTAAAAACTTTTTAAAAGTATTCTTTACAGCTCTGAATATTAATACCTTAAAAATTCAGCAGTATGTCACGGGTCAAGAAAAATGTATAAAATAAAAGTAAAAATTTAAAAAAATATGTGCAGATTATAATAACCGTACAACAGTTGATTATCTTCATGATGTTGCTATCAATTTTAAATTGCAAATATAAAAACTATGTACCTTCATATTATTGACATCCACAAACGTGGAAAAAATACTTTACATTGTATTTTATTTTTTTATGTATTATTAGTATATTATTATTATTATTATTATTATTATTTATTTTTTATTATTTAATGTTATGTCAACATACGAACAATGTATGCATAATTTTCGTATTCGAACAATTTCCAGGCAAACATTAAACGCACGAACTATTTTCAGCGAACAATTGACACATATCCTTTTTTTTTTTGCAATCTTTGTACAAATAATTTTCACAGTTTTCTTAGAAAAATGTTTCATATTAATCTAAAGTATGGATTTATGTTATTGCTTTTCGTTATTATTGTGTCATTATGAAAATATTCAGATAAAATAAATTTAGAAATTAGCAATATATTTATAGGTATCATTACATTCTATTTTTAAACAACATTCTTATGACGCATCAAAAATTAAAATTTTACGTACCTAATGTAATTTATAAATTTTTTATTAGGTAAAAAAATGTAGAATATGTAATAAAAATAAATAAATCTGTACAATATGCATGTGAAGATAAATTAACGTAAAATATGTGAAAATAAGTAAAAAAAGAGTCAAAACCATGAGTTTCATGGTATTTATAAAAATTAAAATCTAGCTACGCTATTAAAAATAAAATAAAATAATATGTATGTAATAACTAATTAATTTTTTCATAAAAATTCATCCAGGTTTGATAGGATTTTACCTTCTTCAGCCAACTTTATAATTATATCTTCATAGGAATTATAGTATTATTATACTATAATCTACGAATAGTATTATTATACTATTCGTACGAAGATTATGTTGCTTGAATACGTCAAAATCGTCTTTTTACTGAATCTCTTTACATAGAATTTGAAGCGCTTCTAGCTTTTGTTTAGTTGATGGTGGTTTTTCACCAGATTTCTCTTCGTTATTACCACCAGTCACATTTTGTTTTGACCTTTTTTACTGTATTTCACCACATATTTTTTTCTCGGTTACGAGTTTAGTATTTTGGACTTCTTTGTCAATATTACCATACTGGTACCGACTAATATTGCATTTATAACACGATTGTTCAATGTATGTACATATTTTATCGATTTATCTAATTTTTTAAATAATAACAAACATATGAAATATTCCATAATATTATGTAATGACTAGATGTGTAGTAATTACTCGTAGCTTACAGGTATACAATACTTGCTATTTATGATTTTTTGGTGAATAGTTGGGTATCCATAAGTAGGGTTTACCCCAGTGGTATAAAAAAGGTTCGACGCCACTGTGTACCTAGCCATATTAGCACGAACATTGAACGTTTCAGCTCACTAATATTTACTTTAACATCACTAATCACTACATCTAAACAGTTAGCAATCGTTATTAGTGTATAAAATCAGCGTTTCGCCTTTTCGATTGTTGAAGGTAATTTTTAATGAATAAGTTGTATTTAGTTAGTGTTATGTTGTTGTTATGACAACACATAGTTCAGGCAGTTTCGACAAAACGCTCGCAAAGACATTAGTCGACTGCTCCTGGTGAGCATAAGCCACAGTCGGTCATGTGCCATCGCTAAGTAAACGCCTCGATGTTTTCATTCAATTTGTACATGCAATCAGATGTTGGTTTTTAATGGTACGTATTCTGTAACATAGTAAATGTTTCTAAATTTCTAAGAAATCATAAAACATTTTAAACAACATTTTATAGTTTTAGATTTAGACTATTTAATGTAACGTTACATATATATAGTAAAATTGTATTTTTTGTACTTATTTAATTTATTTATTTATTTAGATATAAGATTTTAATTACAAAAAAACTATTTTTTAAACGTACGATACCTACTACATTTATGCCTATACTCTGTAGGAAGTTATCCAAGATTTTATTATTTAATTTTTTATTGGGGGACTTTTTCAATTTTCCTTGTAAATAAATTATACATATTCAAAAGAGAAAAATCATAAAAATGTTTGTTATAAATTTTTTTTTTCGGGAAGAGGTAAGACTTTGAATTGATGTAACAATAATTATTTAATAATTAATAAGAATAATAATTACTAGTGTCTACATGATTAACAAATAATTTGTTCCTTTTGCAATATTTACATAATTAAGCTTGACATTTACCTATTTCTATTAATATTTGTTTTTACTACATTTTTATTACAGAAAAACGCTTTTTTTGGCACAATATTAAGAATTTAATTCTTTATTATTAATTAAGAATTTTGTAATAAAAATATAGATTTTGAACTAGCTAAATTATAAATTTGAATAATGATTTTTCTATTTTGTCAAACACTAATATGATTTTATTTAAACATTTGAAAGCAATAATTTTAACTAAAATCATTTTGAGTCATTATTGTTAGAATTAAAAGTTTCTTTGTATTTCCACAATGAATATTTAAAAAAAATTATAATACATTTTTTTATTACTTTAAAACATAAATATTACTTGATTAATTATTTGAAAATAAGATTATATTATACTTATGCACTTTTACATAACTTTAATATAGGTATCTATGAAACATGTGTGTTAAAGTTTATTGTTTAATATAATAATAAAAAATTAAATTAAAATTAAAAATTATTAAATGGTTAATACTTGCAAATTAATAAATAAAAGCTTAGCCCGGAGTATTTTTATATTTTCAAAGTACGATCGGTTTCAAATTGAAAATTCATAATCAAGTATATACAAGGTCAATAAAATTGCGTCTCTTGTTATTTAATGATTTTCTTTTATTTATATTTGTTTTTCATTATTTTCTAAGATTGTTATTTAAATAAAACGAAGAAAAATTAATTTATAAAAATGATTACTTTACGATTAAAATAATATCACAAGATTAACAATACACTCTTTCTTAAAATTGTATAATATTAAAAATTTAAAGAGTAAATTATCGTTAATATTTGAGTTATTAGAACTATTGGTATGCATTTTAGGTAGGTATTAGGTATGACGTGTAGTTATAGTTTTTGTTACAACAGGTTGATGGACTTTTCAATTAATAACCTATTCTGAAATGTCTTCCTTGAAGTACCTACCTATAAAAAAAAAGTTTAAAATAGTTACAATCTAGAAAAAAAAAATTAAACTACCTCTATGCTCGTGTATACACGTCCAAAATAATTTTTATTAGAGAGTTTTCATGTTATTTTATAACTGTGTATTTATATTTTTAAAAATATTTTTGTTTTCATTGACTTTATTAAATTATAAGCAATGAATATCACCTATTTTACGTATATAGCTTAAAAAGTTATTATAAATTTGAAATTCTTTTATGATTTAAAATTTAAAATTAAAATTAATACTTTAGATTATTTATAAATTTGATTTGAATTATGAACTTAGTTCTATAAATAATACAAAAACCAAGCAATTGTAAAGTACAAACTGTTTATATTTATATTCTTATATTTTATTAAATTAATGCATAATATATAGAATTCAAGAATATAAGTAAAATGCTTTTTAAAATAATTTAAATATTTATATATGTTATGTAGGTACTCATATTTAGTAGTTATCATTATAGACAGATTTACAAGGTATGCCAGGTGTGCCAAGGCACATTATAAACATTTTCGATCATTTCTATGGAAAGTTGCTCTTCCAAAAAAACGTTTTCGAAATTGACTCTCGTAAAAATTAATTTAAGGTCAACTATGAAACAAGTTCACTCATGTTATATGCCGAACAGGAAATAACCGTCAATGTTAAAACTTCTTAAGTTACTTTCTGAAGAATTTAAAAATACTGTGTGATTTCAAAGACGATTATTATTATACATTTATACAATTATTATGATACATAAATTATTTTATTATAATCAAAGTACAATTATAACTAGTATTATTTTAATATTTATAGATAAATATAAAACAATATTTTACAAAATAATTTACTACAAAATTAAGCAATACATTATAATAATTAATACATACAAGTTACTTATTACTCAATATTTTATTGTATTTATCTGATAGCTACATAGTTATAAATTATACAATAATAGGTTAAATTTTTTTAAACTTTTGTGTATTTTATATACCATCCTATGAAAGAAAAGTATAAAGTAAAAAAAATGCACGATTCAGTGAATTTGTTTATAGCCTACTCTCCATATTATAAAAGAATCCCGGACACATTCAAATTTAAAATTCTAGGCCTGCCTATGGTTATCATATAAAACAACAATTTAAATGTTATCATTATATTGATCGTAAAATATTGTATGTAGGTACATATATAGAGAACTCGTAATTCATTGAGTAGACGAGATATATAGATAAACTATGAATTTAAAAGTGGTTCATATAACAATAATTTTAATGACGTATTAAAAATATTTATTTAATGTTTATTACACTTTTAAAAGACGTTCAAAATACTGAAGGCATAACCTTTTCCAAAATAACATCTACAAATTTCTTTATTTGTATAGAAATTAAAATTAAATTTTTAGTCTAATGTCTAATCATAATAATCATTTAACATATTAAACATTGACGTGCAAGTTAATAAAAGTTGGACTGCAATTTTTATTTAATTATATTCTTAATGTAACATTATATTTTTAAACATTAAAGTATTCTTTATGGGGATTTAATTATAAAATTGCCAATTAGAAAAATTAAAAATCGATCTCAATTAAAAACGAATAACTATAACTATTTGTATTAATATTAAAAACATTTTTAATCTATTTTAATATATTTACAAGTAATTACTATGTTGGACAATAAAAAAAAAAAAAAACATATATTATTGCATTAAAATTAAATTAAATTCATAGCTAATATTTTTGTTGTAAAAGAAGTAATAACATAAGCCTTATATAACTTATAAGCTTTTATACATTTTTCTAAAATATATTTATTAGTTGTATAAGTGAATATTATTCCTTTTTCAAATAAGAACAATAAGAGTTGTAAAAAAACTATTAAAATAGCTTTTATATATGATGTTGTACTTATGAGTCAGTAGGGCGTCTTTTTTTATGGCACAATGAGGTCAGCTGATAAAAAAGTCTACGAGAAAATGGTCAAAAGTAGTCGATTATAAAATCGGGTTAATGTTACGTGAGATATTATATTAGCTACTTTGGATAAAATCACAAACACTTGGCCTTTTACACGCGAATTATATGGTAATCAAAAAGATCGACCTTTGGCGAGTCGAATATTATTATTTATGGTAATTGGGTCGAAAACTCTCGACCTCGACCTCAAGACATGGTAAATGTCTACAAGACCGTGGCAATGTATGTCCGAATAAAATTAAAGGTAAACTTTTGCGTGCATAATCGATTTCCAAATGATCAAATGACAAGGTCATAATGTGTCCATAATAAACATTTAATAATAGCCTTTACATAAACCATAAGTATTATACTATATTTGTTTATTCGTCTTTCGTCATTTTTTATTTTTTTGAAGATCTCTATAAAAAGTTAAAATATGTTAATACATGTACTCAATATCGATTATATAACTGTATAAATAAAGAAAAACAGAAATTAATTTAACGCTGATTAAAATAATTTAAATACAATTTTTAATGAAAATTAGAAACTTTCTTGTAGTTAATTTATATGTTAAGAATAGTAAATTTTTTCATCAAAGTAACGTTTTTTTTTTTTTTTTTAATATTTTATCTAATCAAAATATTTGTTTGTAAAACGAAGTAATTTAGAAGTAATAAAATAAAAGTTAGTAACAACAGTATCCAAAAATTATTAAATACCCGTCTTTAACTGATTATATATTTATTTTCATTATTTTTGTCTTAAAAATATTTATGCACAAGATGGAGTAAATTAAAATAAGTCATGTCATTTCGAAACACCATTTGGACACTCAAAACCATTGAAAGAATTCTGAAATTCATAGAAGTTCGATCTTAAGTTATAATTGACAAGGTATAACTATTGGAAATAATAATAAATATATAAGCAACATTTGATATACAACAAAATTAGATAAAAATTTTATCCTTAAAAAGGATTACATTTTATTTCGTAATCAGTGGTGGGTTTAGAGATTAGATATTAAAAAGAGAAAATATATTGGTGATTCTTTGATCCTCAAATTTATCTATGTTTAAAAAATACTCATGGATCGTTAAAAAACACAAATTAAAAACATGTTGATTACCTACTTATGTTATACTTATTTTATCGTTAAATTGTTTAAAGTTTATTTTCATAAATGGCTTTCTAGTATTGACTTTCATAAAATCTATACTTCATTGATTATAATTTATATAAGGGATTATTATTAATTATAATATTATAAGTATTCAGGTTGAAGTTAACAAAATAATCAAACTAATGTTATATATATTAAATTTAATATGATTAATTAATTATGTAATTTGTAAAAAAAAACTGTTCAAGGTTGTTATAACACGATTTTATAATGACTACTTTACGAACTACTACTACTACAGAATATCGAAAACGAGTATATTTCGATGGGTCACCAACACATGTTTTACATGACAAATGTTTAACGCCTTTGATGAAAGCATGCATGTATGGACGACCTGAACAAGTCAAACTAATCCTAGAAGAAAAAGTAATTAACACTACTTACAGAATTACTATGATTATTTACCTATGCAATAACGATAGTTTATAAATTACCTGTTTACATAATTTAATAATTTACATAAGTTATATATAATTAAAATATAATAACACAATAAATAATATAACATAAAATTCATAACCAATGTGTAAGTAATTATATTTAATTTTTGTGTTTCCACTGTTGAATAAATTTACGTATATATATATTAATATACATACGTAAATAATACCACGTCGAAGATAGATGGACAGTGTACGGGAGGCAATGATGGAACTTATGCAATCGAGAGAAATAAAGTGTGATATGGCACAGGACAGGGGGAAATGGAAAGATTTAGTTTCAGCAGCAAAAAGCCTAAACGGCTTGTAAAGCTAAAAAAAAAAAAATGAAACGAAAACGAAAAAACGAAGTGTTGAGACCAGGGAATGTATAAAATAACCAGTCAATGTATAAATTATATGCATAACCTATACGTTTTAGTTTATTTTATAAATATTCTAGTTATTTCATACACTAAGCGGATTCAACACTTTAAATGTTATACGCGCGCGCACACACACACGAACATACCTACAGTGTAGGTAATATGCACATATGCATGTATAATATTGAGCTGAATTAGAGATAATGTAAGATGATTGAAACCTTCACATTTTTTTAACTGTAAAATTATTAAAAGAAAAAAAATGAAATAACCATAAAAATAGCATACATTGTTTAAATAAAATATAGGGAAAATAATTAACGTACTGCTTATTTATTCGGGATTCTATCAAAATTTTTGTCCACAATTCACTGTATACCTTTATGAAATCATACATGCATCGGGATAGTTTAGTATTTCGTCTTTTTGTAAACAGCCTTTGTCGGTGGTCGAACGAGATGGCGTTTTTAAGACCGCATTGCACTATTGCGCGGAAAATGACGAAGATGAAGCTGATTGCGCCAAACTACTTCTAGAAGCAGACCCATCTATTGTAGATATACCCGACGACGATGGTCATACTGCACTACATTTGGCTGTGATTGCTGGTAACTTGCCGTTGGTCCGATTCTTATTAATATCCGGCCAGGCAGATCCAAATAAACGTGATGCCGAAGGACATTCGACCGTACATTGGGCAACAGGTATAAATATTTTTTCGCTGTAGAGTATTTGAATAAAAATAACTTTTATTCTCGTATTTTACATTCATATCAATGACATTTTAACTTTTTGAAGAATCGTTATTAAAATAAATCATGAACGAATAAAAATAAAATATTAAGAGAGGACAATAGACATATCAACATATCTAACATATCAAACTATATAGGATTGCATTTTCACGTATTATTTATACAATTAAACTTGGGCTACGTTTAGGTTTCAATACACAAATAGAGATTATTTTCTCTGTATAGAATGATAAAAATCTCGTGGTTTGATGGTAAGATTAGTTATTTTTCACATAAAACTATGGTTTTCAGTATAGGTATTTAATGCATAACCTAGCTTTTATTATTGTGACGTGTTATATAAATTAATAACAACATTAAAAAAATTACTTACATAATTTAAAACTCTGATTTAATTTCTTTATATATATAGGAAGATGGAAGTAGTTACTTGTAAGAATATTTATTTTTGAAAAAACAACGATCCTACATTTTACCTTTAAAGAAATTTAATAGTTAATTGCATAGACTTGTATTCAATTTATATTCATATATTTGGACTTAAAATAGAAATAAAAATAGCAGTGAAACTAATAAAAACAAACAACAAATCTACCACAAAAGTTTGAGGAAATAACCTCTTAATATTATGAGTTTTACTTCTGGAATTATTTTATAAAACGTCGCGTGACTACAAATAAAAACTTCGACATTTCATTTTTCTTAAAGGTTTTATTCAAAATACAATAAATAACTAAAAAAACAGTTCGTTATAAAGGAAATAATAAAAAAAAAAAAAATAAACAAATGTATTCATTTATATTAAAATAAAAACGTGTTGTTTAACATTTGATAAAATATAAATAGTTTATTAAAGTATATATGTCTTCTAATTACAGAATAGCTTCATATTTTGTAATTACTATATTTATAAATTAATTATATTAAATATAATTATAAATTCTTACTTTAAAATGCACATGAATTTATTTTTTATACAAAATTATTTTAGGATCAATTAAAGTAGGTTTGGAACAAGTTTTAAATTTGCTTTGTAATTTTCGTTGACAATTATTTGTCTATACTATACTGTACTCAAATAAACAACAGAATTATTATTTTATTTCTTAAAAGAGTTTAATTACTTTTTTATTAGATTGTTTAGATATTACATTAGAGTTTAAGCTTTTCTTAAATTTGTGTTCTAAATATAGTTAATAGTTATAATCTAGGGCAAATTGGGAAAATATTTCAGTTCTGGTAAATGGTAAATAGATTGGCTCACTGTTAGGATGATGTTAAGTAACGACCAAGTTTATGGATCAATCTAGTCCATCGGGTAAACTCCCGAATTCCCTGTGAGCCAATCCACCTTTGGCTATAATCTAGTTCATTGTTTGAAATATATTGTACAACAAATATGTAAATGTTCACTTCGTAATTTCAAAATTTAATCCAAAATGGAATAAGACACGTCTTAGATTGTTAATTTTATGAATAGCTTTATGAATAGCATTCATATTACTTAATGTTTTTGTAAATTCTACGTCTTATTGATTGTTATTAATTATACATTATAATATAATGTATAATTATATGTATATTATTTGCTATTTGGTATTTGAATTTAACTATCCATTAAAAACTATTTCGAATCACCACATCAAAAATAATAGGTTATAGAAGAAATTAACGCATTACTATTGAAAGCTTAACCGCATACTATTCATAGCCAGTGCCGGATTAAGGGCCGATGCCGTCGTGGAGCAAATAATGTTTGCCTCCCTCTCCCTCACAGAAATAAGGTTTAAGTGAGACTAAAAAAAAAAAATCTTGGTTACTATGTATAAATTAAAAAATAAAATATAGGTACCTAATATATAATATAATATAATAATTAATCTACTTAAACTAGAAAGTATAAATAGGTGTATATTTAATGTCACAGAATAGTTTTGGAAAGAATTTTTTTAAACTAATGGAAAATACTGACAAAATATAATTATAATATTAATAAATTGGTTCAAAATATACAGATAATAGTTAAAGTAATTTTAAAGCCAATTAAAAAAAAAAAAAAAAAAAAACTATAACCATATAACTATGTATATATTATAAATTATTATTTTTTTATAATATTATTTATTTTTCTTTAATTATATTTTTTTATGGATTTAATATAGTATAAATATATTTATATTAATAATAGTTATAAGTTTTTATGTTATTTCTTTCACTTTATTTCCTCAACCAAATTAGATTCTATGCATAAAATTGATAAATTGGACATTTTTTCTAGTATTAATGATGATCTTAAATAATTTTCTTGAGGCTATTTTATTTATGCCACCCCACTAAATTTGCCACCCTGAAACAAATGCTCCTTTTGCACCAAGGTTAATCCGGCCCTGTTCATAGCCTGCAGGAGTTCAAGAGTTCATCTTTGAGGGTGCCACACTAATACTGTGATATCGATGTTTACCGCGATATCATCGAATTGAGGGAATTATATCGAAAGTGGAACGTTTATATTCGTTTTATAATTCATATAGAACTTTCAACAGTCTTTTCTCTTAGTTTTTATTTCACGAGGGTGTTTAGTGAATCCAAAATGTATCATTTAACAGTGTGTAAGACAACCAAGTGATAAAAAATATTTAGTGACGTATATTAATAAAATGTTAATATATAATCTGTTTGTATCCCTTAGTTACAATAAATCAATCAAACCGAAATGGGTTAAGACAAATCTAAAATATGTGCTTTTTATAATTAAAAAACTTATCTCATTTGTACCGTATCCACTCCATAGTCGTATGAAATATTATGAGATAATTTAAACGATAATTTAACATATTTTTCACTAATAAACTCATTTATTTTATTAAATTAATATATTTCATTTACTTATAGGTACGTACTGATATAAATCGATTGGTTTTTTAGTACTTGTATTTTTCTTTTATTATCTATTGCATTAAATGCATTTACAGAATTCTTTCACTAGGTCATTGTTACACACAAATATTTATATTACGGTGAGTTTAAAATCAATAGTTTATCAAATATGTATGACGTGTTGCGTGGTGTATCGGAATTTTAGGAAGGGCTTTTTATGAATAACAGATATTAATATAATAATTAACGGTTTTACTACCTATTTAGGTAAATTTAAATTTAAATTAATAAATATTCAAAACTTGTCGTTAAGAATTCTGTATGTAAACATATATGACCTCATTTGAAAATATCCGAAGTGACGCTCGTATCATGTGATAGTCATATTAATATTTCATGAAATATTCAAAATATATTTAAATATAATTAAACAATTATTTTATGTTGAAAAAATTAAAATTATTTTTACTCAGAATAATGTAACTAGATTATGCGTATTTTTAATACATACAATGAAATATTATATTGTTAGACTTTAAAAATATAAAAGTGCATTTAAAAGAATACCTCGTGATATATCATCATGAAAGTACGAGTAGATTTAATTCAAAAGTAATATCGTGTAAATGATTGTTATGTTTTTCTTTATATGAAAAATAAACTCTACTGTGTAGCATTATCTCTTACAATACAGTTGTTAACAGTTAGGGTGATTACATATATTCTGAATTGAACAAGTTAAAGAATATGATAAACATAATAAAATAATATATAAATTTATTCACGTTACAAGTATACGTCGAGATAACTTTAGTATGCCTAAAATCCAAACCGTACTTTCAATTTTTATATTTTAAATGTTATTCCGAAATCGACTGTTATCAACATTTGATTTAGAAATGTAGTCTTTATATTTTGATTGTTAAAGAAGATTGTATGAAATTGATTTTTTTTTTTTTTAATTGAAAATATACGTTAGGTATAAAAATAAAAACTGAGCCGTCGTAGGACACCTGACAGATATGAAATTATTTAGTATTGAAAATGTACATGAAAGGAAGATTTATTAAAGGAAATATTTATGACATGAATAAGAACTAAATATTTAGATTTTTTTCAGAAAAATTATTCTTTATTTAGAAAATATGATATATAATAATTTAATACAAAACTAAAAAATTAAAAATTAAGCATTTGCAATGTGTACGTTTGAATTTGCTATAACTCAATCATATATATATATATATTTTAATCAAAGTCCATAGGAAGGGGGATCACCCCATTAAACTTCTTCAAGGGACGCCTATGGTACAAAAATTGATAGTGCGGTGAGGGAAAAGGGAATCGCTGTGCCGAGTGCAGAGTGCGTGGCCACACCAACCGCCGGTCTTACCGGCCGCATGAAATGTTTTACATCAATAATAACATTGATTTTATAATATATAGATATACCATCTTGTTTTTAAAATTGGTAACGCTTCCGTGGACGTAGTCGTTAGATTTTGATGTAATTGTTCATGTAACACTTAAAAAAAAAACAGATTTTAACCAAGAGAAACAACGGTTAAACAAATAACAATTTTCTATTGTTGAAAACCTATTATTATCAAGTAGAATTATATATATTAATATGATTATAGCGATTTCAAATGACTATTACTACCGTCGACACTACCAATTTTATCAATAGGATGGATTATGTGCTGCGTATTCGAAGATAAATGATATCGTCATTTAATATTTATCACTTATCCCTTTCTGTCGGCAGTAGATATGTACCTACTCTATATTTATAAATTGAATTGATTGATAAATATATACTGGAGGCGTTCACCGATATAGTTAAGCTTGCAGTAGTGCGAAGTGTAGTTATAACCCAAAAGATTGTTATATCTGCCAGTTTATTATTGTTTTTCTCGAGTTATGATGTTGAACCTTGAAAGTGTAATCATGTGAAATGTTGTAGAATTCACAAATTGTTTTATATGTATTTGTGTACGAGATCGTACAGGTAACCCTACGTCATAGACCATTAGGCTCTTAGACCTTAGCCCAATATTGTTCCAAGCCTACAAGCGAACAACGATTAAGTACCGATTGACTGATGGACTGCTCATGTTTGATATCGGTTTACTGTTTGCACAGAACACTCCGCGCGTACAATGGTATCAATACGTATCAAAATACGTTTGAAACGTAAACGGTCTTACAACGAGCGTTGAAAATCCGACCAGCGGTTAGCGCACAGTGCGAGAACCGTTCACGCGGACCAAACGTTTAAGATGTGTACCACATCGAGCGCGTCCGCAGGATAAAATCCCACCCGGGGCAAGATTAAAATTCCAAGGGCCAAGAAAAAGTGTATCTAAAAATATATGAGAACAAAATCAAATACCATAGAACGGTACTCGGGAGTAGCTTTATAGTTTTAAGTGATACACGGTCATGCACGTTGTAAACCAATAAATACGTTCAAGATTATACTTTATAGATTACCTAAAAATATAAATAAATTTTGCTAAACTTCATAAACGGATCTCGATAAAATCATGTTACAATTAAAAATGCGGGGTTAAATTAAATCGAAAATAGTTTTGAAACAAAAATTCCCACTAGGGACAATGGCCCATATGTACGTTGTTCCGGGCGTGACCGTGCTAAACGAATATTTTCACAGTTTGCGCCGACGTCGACGCACTCGAGTTGGTCCTTAGCCACGGGGGTACGACCAAGTCGGCGGACGTGCACGGCGGATACGCCGTCCATTACGCGGCTCAGATGTGCGGCACCGGTGTGTGTCGTTCGGGCGACGTGCGCAACGTCGGTGTCCGCGTGCTGCAGCTGCTGCTGTCGTACGGCGCGGATGTTCACGTGACCGACAAACACGGACGTCAACCGATTTTGTGGGCGGCCAGCGCGGGTAAGTGATTCCAACGGCCGTCGAAACTTCGTAAAGACGGTACAGTACGTCCTCTCGCGATTGTAACACTCGAATCGATGACGATCGTTTACCGTTCCGTCCGTGGTACTGTAACGTCCCCTCTTTAATGCAGGTCATGTTGGTGTTCCGAACCTTTTAAATTATGTTTATTTTCACGAGGTCTCGGGGACTCGACCTCGGTGTGTGATACTCATGCCACGGAATAATTGGGTTACCTCATATAAAATACTGTGATCGACAATCGTTACAGTACACACGAGAATAAAGTGATTTTATTTTGTCAAATCGTGTCCGAGTTGAAAATATGACCAACGTAATGCTAATGGTTTTAATGTATACCTTACGGTCGTAGGTAGCGCGGATGCCATTATCACTCTTGTCAACGGCGGTGCAAACGTCGAATCGCACGACAAAGATGGACTAACAGGTAACTTGTAATAGTTTTTTCCGTGTAAACTGATACAATGCAGTCGCATGTTACTGCTAAATGTTTGATTATTCGTAATGATTTTACGTAGGTACAAAGGTAGTTTTATAAATAAATCACCTTAGTTATTAGGAAATCAAATAAAACCATATGAACTCGAATATGAAAATATTTTTGGACAGTAAGAATTTAAAATTAAAATTTTTTTTTCCACAATGCGCTGCGCTTATATCACATGCGTCTTAATTTGCGCCCAAACCTAATCCATATTCGTTTTTAACAAAACATCGAAAAGCGCTGTTATTAAATTTTAATTAATAGTTTGAAATTTAAATCAAATGTATAAAACGTAAAACATCTTAGTTGCAGGTCAATAAATTGAGCATTTTGATAAAGAAAAAAATAATTTCATCTCATAAATATAGGGTTAATAATGAAAAAAACATAGTATAATAATTTCAATAAAAGTTCATTGAAATTTTAATTTCATCAGTCAATGTGATTTAATATATAAAAATATATAAAATATAAAATTTAGCATTTTAAAATCATTTTGTTTGTAGCTAATTTATTAAAATCTATATTATACATAATTTTTAAGAGGTCAATGTATTTTTTTATTTATAATTATTATTATTAAAAAAAAATGCTCATGCCTTGTTACAAATTAATTTCATAAATACCCATTAATACATACCTTTATATTTATCTTTTATTTTTTCTTCGATTAGTTAAGAAATTATTTCAAGATATATAATAATTCAATTAAATTTATTATCAATAATTACATTATTCATAGTTTAATTTATTTTATCCACAATTTATTAAATTATACCTTCATTAATATTTTATTATTTTGAAATAGCTTTACACTGTGCGGCCAGCCGGGGACATGTTGAATGCGTAGACGGACTATTAACGATGTGCGGATCTGAAGTGGATGCAGTAGACAGCAACAGTTGTTCTGCTTTATTCTATGCCGTGACACTGGGCCATGCGGACGCAACCGAAATATTATTAGAACATGGAGCTAATCCTGATCGACAGGACGGAAAAGGAAGAACGTAAGATGGTATCTTGTGTGTGTAGAAAACGAATGCATTTAAGTAACAAATGTATTTTAAGATAATAAACTAAAAATGGTAAAATAATATCATTCAAATATAGTTTCTATCACATAAAACATGTGTTATGAAATAAAATCGTAAGTTTCAAGTGTATTGTTCTTTCAAAGTGTAAAATATTAATATTTCATTGTTCGTATACGTGTAACATTTAGTACAATATAATATCTTGAAGTCTTAATACTTTTTGTTCAATATTGTATTATATTGATTTAGTTTTATCAGACATATTTTTTGAGATGGCCTTCTGAAAAAAAAATTTTCCCTATGGCAGGAAATAATACTATGTACAATAACACAAAGTTTAAAATTATACTAAACATAGCGAAATATAAATATATTCGAATGAACATATGCATATTGCATGCATTAAAAAAAACAAACACGTCGATTTTGATAATATTATTATTTTTTTATTATTGATCAGTGATTGTTGAACACATCGATCGATTTTAGTGCATATTGTGTCGATTTTCAGCTTGATATCGCTTACATCCTATCCGTTTATCGTTAAAAATAATTGAAAATGTTGATTTTGTATTTTTAAGGCCGGCGCACTGTGGTGCATTTAAAGGTCAATTGGAAACAGTGAGAATTTTAGCCGACCACGGTGCCAATTTATGGTTACGAAATTCAAAAGGTGGTTATCCGTTACACGACGCCATGAGGTCAGGTCGCAAAGAGCTTGTTCTTTGGCTTATATCAATGCGTCCCGAATCGGTAGATTATTACGATGACGATGGTAAGCGGCCATTGCATATTGCCGCGCTAAATAACAATCTGGAAATGAGTAAGGTAGATTTACATTTATTTTTGTACCTACACATGTATACTGGTTGGTATATTGAGAGTGTTTATATTCCTTTTAATAACTAATTATTAGATATTGATTATATTAGATATAATTAGATATAGATTGTTTTGAATTTTTAAGAAATAATAACAAGTTCTTAATTTATAAAATAGTCAGAAAAGTAATTAGATGAATTTTTTTATATAATTATAATACTTGGTAAGTTTATATAACTTGCAATAAAATAATTATTTAATTTTTTTCTTATAATTATTATTAGAAAAATAAAAAAAAAAACTCAAAAAAAAAAAAAAGAAAAACTCATGTTTCGAATAAAATAATTGTTTATTTTAGTGTTCCTTAAATGTTTAATAAAGTTAAAAACAAATAATAAAAGTTTATAATTTTCATAGTTCAACTAACAACAGTTCTTCAGTAAATTTTTAAACTATTAGTTTTCATAAATACACAAATATAAAATGGGTATTTGGTTAATTTATGATTTTTATATTAAAGTGTGAACTGTTTTTCTCATTGAATTTATATGAATTTGCAGATTGTACTGGATCATGGTGCGTCAATCAATCCGGTGATGAAAATCAAAGGAGAACGGATGACACCTCTTGATGTAGCTCTACGAAAAAATAATAAACATTTAGCCAAATTTTTAAATTTATTTGGTGGAAAACCAGCTAGTAATTTAAATAAAACGTTATCTAAACAACAATCAACTGTGCGTGTTAAATCTAAAAGGTTTGTTATATGGAGTTGGAAATATTGTTAGTTTAAGTATTATAAACATTTAGTTTTAGCACTTTAATTTCTAATTAAATGCTATTTTAAAATGAAAAACAAAATTAAACTTATTTAGTATTAACGTACTAGTAATTTATTGTCCAGCGCCACGTTTCTAATCTTAAAAATATTAGTCGATTATTATTTTGTTAAATTATTTATGTTTTTAAAAACATAAAAAGTATGATATTTAGTTAGAACTTTATTGTTCCAAGCACAACTTATGCTATCTGAGGCGAACTATTTAGTTATTCTTTGAAATACAAGTTATTTTAATTATAATACTATTTAACTTTTTAATAAACAAACATTTTAGTTACTATTTTTATTAAAATTGTATTTTGTAATTTAAATGTTTTATACATATATTTATGTAATTGTAAAATTGTTTGTAAAAAAAAAAAAATTTCAAATCATCAATTATATATCGAGCTTAATGATTTGATGAATTTGTTTTTCAGATCTGAAACTCGAAGAAATTCTTATTCGTCCGATTCGGTTAGTCGAAAATATCGTAATGGTGGTAGGAAAAAGCAAGCTGTTCAACGCAAAGGTGAAAGCCCGAAAATTAATAAACCAACAAAGGGCCGTGTAGTACAAGTAAATACAATTATCATTAATTCTATCCAAAACATATTTTAAAGTTACAAACTTGTTTGATAAATGCCTTTGAAACGCAAACCAAGGATTTAATTCATAACTTTTTTCTTGATAAATTTAATTTATTTAATGCCTGGAAATTTTTGAACTGCTTATTCAGATAATACAGCTCATACAGGACAATATTCGCTGGAATTTTTTGAAGTCCAATTATGGACTCAATGTATTTCTTTTGTTTCCTTGTGTTTACGCGTATACGCGTTCGGATCGTCGCGATGAGCTCATTAGCGGCCTCGTCGGTTTTATTCAAGACTTTGCATCCGAATAATTTTTTTTGGGTTTCGGGTGTTGAATATATTCGGGTGTTCAAACACCGCAATTCTTTTTTTCTTTCTTCAAGCTTTTACAGTTAATTTAGGCATAGGCGCAAATAGGGGTAGGGCTTGGGTAGGTTTAGCCCACCCAGTTTTTGAACGTAATGTGTAATTCCCGAATCCCATTAGTTATGTGTATTGTGTAACGGTTTATTGTCTTTAGAAGTTTAAATTTATCAATAATATGAATATTATCATTATATTATTATCAAACATTTTATTATTTACGGTTAATTATCAATAATCCAGGTTCATTTTATGAACATTTTATCGCTAATCACGGACGAAGAGTATATAACTAGCCCGTGTCGTAAATGTTGTACGTGCGTATTGACGGTCTTAGAATAAGATAAGAAAAGTGAAAACCGTGGTCCGTGATATTTGTTTATCAGGCTGCGTTTCTCAATGCTTGTTATCGTTGAGAGTTTTGATTATAATTAATTTTAGTTTATAAACTATAAGGTGTTTTTAATTTGTATTATATCGCAGTAAAGTGTAAACGATTTCAATTTGAATGATGTAAAAGAAGTTGTTGAAAAACAAACATATCCGAACCTTTTTAAATTGTTACAAGTGGCTTTATCTATTCCCATAAGTTCAGCCACTTGTAAAAGATCATTTTCTTCAATGAGACGAATAAAACAATTGACTAAGATCCTCCATGGCACAAGATTGCTTTACATTTTTATCTATTTTGAATATAGAAAGAGATATAACTAACAAAGTAAATGTGGATGATATTTTAAACAAATTTGCAGAAAAGGACAGAAAAATAATGTTAATTGAATTTTGTAATAAATATTTAATAGCCAGAACTGTATATTTTATCAATTACATATTTTTATCCTTTTTTATTCAAATTTATTTAGGTAGCTAGTCTGTAAGTGAAAAAATTCTTCTTTGAAAGTAATTATTAACCATTACAGGTAAAGACTTTTCAGCAATATAAATATAAATATATAAGTGTTGATAATCAATAATGGTGGTATGGGGGTGAAGCCCCCACGAGTCAGTGATAGCATTAAAATGTAGCCCCCCCCAGAAATAGAGCTCTAGTTGTGCCTATGCATTTAGGACCATCGCTGCCTCAACCACATCTTTCCACCTATCTCTGTCTTCGCTATCTTCAATCCTTATTAATTCTTCTGAGATTTTCGTGAGATTCGTTTTCATTCTGTCCTCCCATCTTTGTCTTGGTCAACCCCTAGGTCTTTTACCGCTTAGTCTTCCAGTGAAAAGATTTTTTGCAATACCTTCCGATCTCCAAATATGGCCCGCCCATTCTAACCTTTTACTTTTTAGATACGAACTTATAATGGGTTAATTGAACATTTGGTACAATTCTTGGTTAGTTCTTCTATATTCACCATTCTCAATTACAGGGCCATAGATTCGACGTAGTACTTTTCTAAAAACACCGCAATACAACATTTAAACAAACGTTAGGGTGTTAATAACCGTTATTATTCGGGTTAATATTGGTTAATATGGGTGTTAAGTAGTCAAGGAAAAATATTATTTTTCATTGGTAAAGAGTGGTTGAGAGGCTGAGCCCCCCTCCAATAATGAAATATTTATATTTTTTTGTTACCTGCCTATGTAATAAAATATCAATTTCTTATACAACTGTGCAACAGTTTTTTAAATTAAACTATCCTTATGTTAATTTCAATTAATGGTGTAACTACGATTTATTTTGGGGAAGAAGGGGTTATTTAATATGTATATGAAGCTTATAAATTATAAAATCTATTAAAATTAAAAATACTAACACTATGTCCTACTCCTAGTTAGTGCAGGCATATCGCATGCGACAAAAAAAGAAACTATTTTGTATTCTGCGTTAGTGTTTGTGGCATAGGCGGAAATCGGGGGGGGACTTGAGGGGACTAAGCCCCCCCCAGAAATATAAAGTACAAGACTTAGCCCCCCTAGCTCTAAAAATTGTTAAGTGACTAAAAATACAATAATTATTATAATTGTAAAGTGAATTTTTAATTGCTGAATTAAAAAAAAATATTCTGTGATAAAAATTAAATCAAATTCGTAAGATTTTACAAACTTCTTGTCATGACTCGGAACGATCTCAATTAATGTAATATTAATAATATGTAATAGTACCCGTATAAGTTATTTAATTTAATTAATTCATAATTTTTGTTTAGAATACCTACTCCAAAAATGTTTAAGATTAGGCTCCTAATTATTTTTTTGTTTAAATTGTTGATTAAAAATGTCAAATTGTCAAACTTCGTAAATTGCCTTGTTGAAATAAATAATTGCGTACAGTGGTATCTTTAGGTGTAATAAGTAAATAATGCTCAGCCCCCCCCCCCACAAATTTCAAAAAATTTCTCTTTATGGTTTTTGGTGCGTGCACAAATTAAAAACGCACTAGCTAGGACATAGCGTAATACAAAAATAATAACAATTTGTACTTATGAATGTTATGATGAAATTATTACACCAACAAAAATTGACAATTCACGCCATAGACATGTTTAATACCATTGATTATAAATAGTATATAAATAGTAAATATTATTTATAATCAATGGTACTACACTTCATACACTGAACAAATACGAATAACTCGAACAACAATTTAGGTAATCATACGCAAAACATCAATTCTATTTCAAACTTATTGTATTACAATAAATAACGACTCAGTGATTCGTAGAAGACCTATTAACTATAAAATTATAATAATACGGTGGATCCGTTTGGATAATTTTAAAAATAGTATTTCACTTGTTTACACTTGAACATTCAACATACCATACCACTCATGCACACCTGTCAATATGATATATTGCTATTGTCTTTATTTAAATAAATTTAGATTAATTAACAATTTTGTATATTATTTGTGAAATTATTCCTGTGAATAATAATTTTACTATTAAACAACAAATGACAAAATTGAAATAACCACAAAAAATACATACAAAATGATATGTCATGATGATAAAGATTGTAAAATAAAAAATTATTTGGGTTTCGGGTTAAAACCAATATTTTATTCGGGTTTTGGTTAATTCAGGTGTTTAAAAAAAAAAAAAAAATCATTCGGGTTATATGGGTTTTGGGTGTTTGATTTTTTAAGGGTTTTTAGGGGTGTTACGGGTTTGGGTGAATTCGGGTGCAAAGCCCTGGTTTTATCATTATTATTAAAATATTATCTTATGTGAATTATGTATATGTTTCGATATGCATCATGTACTGTGCGTCCGTATCTTTGTTTTCGTTTTGCCCGTATGTAAATTATTGTAATCGCGTTATTTTTGTTTTTTTGTTATGTGTCGGTCGTGATATCGCGTGACCGTGTCAGTCGTTCGTCCACCTTTTCGTTTTCGTTGTCTCATCGTCGTCGTGTTGTGTACAAAAACTTTGTTTTCGTTCCCGTCTTGCAACAATCTTCTCCAGCAAACTATGTTTTGTGCTGTGTTATTTGTTCGGTCTTTTGATCGGCCATTGTGATTAACGTGGTTTCTGTCTTTGTTGTCTTCGTGTGTTGCAAACGGGACTTGAATTTTCGTCGTGAGCAGTTGGTGATGTTCGATCGCACGTACGCGAGTTCACCTGTATTTTTTATTGTACTTATCATAGTTTATTACATATGGAACCTGGTACGGTAGTGTAAGTGTAAAATCAGTCGAACGTCACAACTGCTATGTGAGTATTGGTTGACCACATTTTCGTTTTGTGTTAAGCCGTCAAGGCAACAACTGTCGAATTTATTATTAAATTATTATATATTTGTTATGCCAATCAGGCAAACTAAAATTGTATTATTATATATTTATCCATTTTTATTATATTATTTTTCATTATAAATTAATTTTTATTATATTTGGTTGCTAACATTAATGTCACTACCGTGACTGGTCCTTTGACACTCGTTGTTGCCCTATCATGTTGACTTATTCACATTTTTGTAAATGTTTTTGAAAAAATGTAAGGAACTATAGAGGAGCCTAAGAACAATAAATACTCGAAAAGATGACCCCTCATTTTAATTTGCAAACTTTTCTTCGATTTTGTTGAGATTCTTAAAACTGCATACAATTTTCTTTGAGTGTATAGAAATAAATTATCATCATTTAATTGGTCACAGCAATTGTAAATGTGATTTTTTCCGTTTTTTCGCCGTACATTTATTTAAACATCAGTTAGTCCGCACGAAAAACGAAAAACGTCTTGTCAACCGTTTCTTGTCCATAGGTGCACATCAGAGCGGACGTGTTGACGAAAACGGTCGGTAAATCGTGGGATGACAAGAAGTCGTGTGGTGGTGGCGGCACGTCTCAGAAAGCTCAGCGTAAAAAGGCGGCGACCGTCGGCGAGCCCAACGAATGTTTCAGCGAAAACGATCTGCGTTGCGGCGGTGACGGTTACGATTACGAGTATGAAGACGACGAAGAGAAGGTGGATGATGACGATGACGACGACCAAGACGACGACGAAGACGAGTATGAAGATGACGTCTACGATGACGACCAGGACAATGAGGACGCGCGACGTGGCGGCCGCGCGATTCGCGTCGAAAAACAGACCAACGGTTCGGCCGCAGCGGCCGCGGCCGACCACTATGTCAACAGACGTCACAGGAGCCGGAGACGCGGCAACAGCAGAACGGGCGTAGCGCAGGGTGGTGGTGAACCAAAGACGATGGGAGGGGATCGTCAGAGGCGTGGCAGCCGCGATAAGGAGAATATCGCTGCCGACCGGGTGACCGCGTCCGCTGTCCACGACGGGATAGCAGTCGACCACGCTGGAACCGAAGCGATGCAGACGTCCGACGTCTTTGGTGGTCACGGTAACGGACATCCACCAGATCCTCCTGACGAGGTCCTGGGCGACGGTCACGGCGATAGCACCGCCGAGTGAGTTTCTCCTCCGTGTTTATTTTTCCTTGGCTCTTGAAAAACGCGTGCATATTTTATTTTGCAATGACCTCCGTGCACATTAAATGTTTCTCATGTCTAGGGCTCGGATTTCAATGCATTTGCATATTTTTTTTGGAATGTCTTACACGATGCTTTCCAAGCTACAAATGTATTTCAAGTACTCCTTATTGTAACTATGAAATTTTTTTGAAGCATTTTTGACGTTTTTAATGCATTTTTTTCATTCATTAAGACATTTTTGACCTATTTTTTGTAATATGACTAAAAAAAATTAACTTATTGAAATAAACTTTGAACTACGTAATATAAATTATTTTCATTTTGAACAATATAATATGGGACAATTTGGTTTTAAATTAGACAAGTATGAAAGTTATCTTGATTCTTGTCACATAATGTCATACTAACTAATATATTTATAAAATCATAAATTGTAAACTTAGCTACATAATTTTAAAATGTTAAATAAATAAATAAATAAATAATAATAATTATAATAAATTTAATATTAACTGCATTTTTCAATTTTTTGGGGTATTTTTTAGAGTTTTTAGGTCAATACATTTTTTTAATATTTTTATGGCATTTAAATCCGAGCCCTAAGAATGTCATACGTCTATAGTGAGTGTAATCCCTCCCGGGAAATATGCGATAAATTGTTGATAAATCAATGATACTATACAAATAATATAATATTTATTTTTAATTTAACTCGTTAGTTGGACGACTTTCGTAGTTATCAGCTAGTCTATTATGCCCCCTCCCTCGGTCTAGGAAGTTTCGGTTCGTTTACTTATTTTGACATAAGGAAATATAGCATTGTATGTACGATGCGTAATATATCGTAATATGTCACAACGTTTAATTTGCGTGACCGCAACTTTCGATTAGATTAATGTTGCTTCGAGTCATCAGAAACAATAGTTTTTAAAAATTTAGTACATCTATTTACATTTACTTTTTTTCTGCTAAATATTTGTATTCGGTTATCATTATTTATTCAAAATATCCATGGATGTGTGAATCCTAGATTTACACGATTCCTTATTTTTGCATTTTTAAATTGTTTTGGATTTATCGAGGTTATATTAATCAAATACATATCATTATATACGAGTATAACTATCGTGAGTAAAAATTGTACGTTTATTTGATTAATTTTAACGGGGCTTAACTCAGATATTGATTATTTTATTGTTACGTCGTGCTTGACTACTAAAAAATATACCCAACAATAAAAATATTAAATAACCTTATCATTATTTGTTTAGAATCTTGTTGCATTATTGACCAGCTAGTTTAGAATCATTTATATAGCGCTTTCAGAATCATATATTATAAAAACATACAGGACGTTTAAAATAAAAAATCTAAAAAAATTTAACTCGTACCAAAATTGGTCTGCGTCAAAATATTATAAACTGAATTAGCCATGTCGAGATGTCCGGGTTCCTATGCCCAATATTCTCAAATGTTAATTCACCATTCAACTTCTATTCATTAACAATAATTTTTTCTATAGTACCTTTTCATTAAATATTTTTCTTGGTCTACCAAGTGCAAGCTTCTTTTACTTATTGGTATTGTATCAGCTTAGGTAATTTTTTTTTATTTCAATTATTTAATTCACATTTACTTTTAAACATAGAAAAAAGACGGAGGCCATGGGAAACGCATTAGTTGTCAGCAGTAGTGGTGGCGGTGGCGGCGTCGTGAAATTCGATCTGGACAGCAAGTACAAGACAGCGGAAAAAATGGTTGAGGGCAAAAGTGATACGTCGGTGGCCGAAAAACAAGTATCGGAGGCCGGGCCTCAAGCTCCTGTGGTCAGAAAGCAAACGTCGATGGCCAGGTCGCAAGCAACGATACGCGACGAGGGCGACATCGATGTGGCGAACGTGGTCAAAGAGCAGGTCACTTCCGTCGTGGATGGTGGTGGAGGTCAGACTGTATCGGAACTGATGACCAAAGGCGGGCAACCATCAGTGGCTACGGTAAAAAGGGATGTGACAACAACGACCAAAAGTGGATCGTCACCGTCGGTAGCCACGGCAAAAGAAGACTTAAAAACTTCGACGAAAGAAGATCGACCACCGGTTAGAGGAGGATCGACCGACAAGGTTGTTGCCGAATGGTCTACAAGCAATGAAGGTGGTGGTAAGTCGTCCATGGGCCTTTCTAAGGACGGCACCGGTAGGGCCATTGTGGAAGTATTGGACCGCGTAGATACGCCACAATTCGCCACCTCGGCCACGGTCGATGGCGACGGCAGCGATGGACAAAACGTCGCAGTCGTCGGTGGTCGGAACGTTGGAGGTGGAAGTCGAAACGCAGCCGTACACAACGTGAGTGAAGCGGTAGCGTTCAGTGTGCTGCCGGACGAAGAACGAAGTGACGGCAAACCGTGCGAGTGTCCGGACTGTCGGAAAAAACAGCTACGGTTGTCTTCGAGTAAGCATTGCAATACTTGGTTTATTTTTAAAAATATTTCAGTTTCTATTAAAAAAAAAAAAAACTTTTACAATTCAGTACCAAAAATAAAGTAGAAAATTTAGTAGGAATCATTATATCTAATCAACGGGTACAACAAATTGTTATTTTTATCGGTTTTATATCTATAGATATTAGAAAAAATATATTTAAATTTGCTGTAAGTAAATATTGTAATGAGTTAAAATTACACACCTAAAATATTTTACATAATATTTAACACACTTTTCTAAATATTAATTTGATTAGTTATTTTAGAAATTTACTCTAGGTCTAGTCAGGGCGTATTTAGACTTAATTCTAAGGGTACGGGCTACTTAAATTTTTTCTTTAATTCAGGCTCAAAATTTAGGCTAAAAATTAGGCAAATTTTGATAATATTTAAATCGGGTGAATCCTTAATATTTTTTTTAAATTTTATGTCGGATCCACTTAGAATCGACTTTTTTGTATTTATTTTTTAATACCTGTCTGTATTTGAAAGTTACGCTGTGTTTTATTTGATTTTTCACTAAGTATGGACCCGAAAAAAAAGTCAAATTCAGTATTCACAGCCATGCGTAATTTGATTTCGTTATAAAATGATCGACATTAAAAAAATTTGAAATGTGTATCTCACATACTTGTATAATTGATTCCTTAAATACGGATTCAGGGGGGCGACCGCCCCCGTCGCCCCCCTCTAAAATACTTCTCTGGGTCTAGTAGAATGCATGTATTGAATATTATTTTGTTCTATTCTAAAAAAATACTTTTCGTATGTTTTAATATAATTTCAGTCTCACAAGATATATTATAATGACATTTTTACTCCTACATTTTAAAATTAATGAGAGATATAAGTATTAGTAAATTTAGATAATAAATTTTAATTAAAATAATTATGTATAATTATTTTTATAGAATATTTTATCGTGTTTGATTTTAGAAAAAAAGAAAAGCCGTATTCCACGATTGAATAATTACTGTAGTTTAGCGCCTACTAATGACCTAAACACAATGTCTGTAACAAAAGCTGTTCAATTGGCTAGTAGAAAGTAAGTCGAAATAAAAGTTATTAAAAGTATTTATTTATTAAAAGTAATTCGAAATATTTAAAAAAACTGTTACATGTCCTACATTTTGAGTTTGAATTAACATTAATGATAATAACTTATATTTGGCACTAATTTTTTTTTTTTCGTGATAAATACAATACTATTTCGCTCATAGGTACCATTTGGAAAGGTTGATATTTTACCAACTGTCTGAATTAAAACGATTACAAATCAGAGCGGGTAAGTCTGATGAACGAGTATTGGTTAAGAGGTTGGTGGAAGAATATGGCCGCACAGGACTGTTTACCGGATTGAAAAGATACGATGGACCTTTTTCGTTTAAGCGTTTTGAAAAATATTTATATGGTAAGTACACCTAATTTTTAATGAGAAATCAATCAATTAAGTACAGAAACTAAATATTCGATACGTAATGTCAGTAAAAACACTCGTATATACAGCTAGTTACATTTGTACCTAGTACACGAGTACGATGCGTGTGTTGCGTGTTAACGTTGAACTTGAGCAATCATTTTTGAGTAAACAAATATTTAAAATGTTCCATGTTACGGTGACTTTTTTTTTCAGTTATAGACCAATAAATTATTGGAAATAATAATAATATTGACATCAAAACTATTTGTTTAGTTATGTATGCATGTAATTTGCATGTAGTGACAGATCTAGAATTTTTTCATGATTGTTGCTTTTTTGCTAATAATAATAACTCTTAATTTATAACTACGGGACAAAAACGAATTAATGATTTAGGGTTTAAATGTTTAAGAAAATCAATTGTATTATGTGCAAGTATTTTGTTTACTCTGTAGAAATAAATTAGCTCCCTTAACCCTCGGTCTCCTCTTCATAAATACCCCTGATGATATTTAACCAAAAATGATTGCTACTTTTTTAGCACATTAATTTTTTATTAACGCATAAAACGTAAATAATGTACCTACATCATTAAACATTTTAAAGTTATAAAAAAAAACAAATAACCTATAGCTTACAAACATAATTGTATCTAAAAATGACAGATATTTAATTATAATTTCTTAATACGTCATTGCAATGTTACGTATTTCAGTAGTATTTCAAACTGATAGCATTGCGTTACGAAACAAAATCTTTCTAAAAATAATTTAATAATTAAAAATGTTATTTGATACCCTACACATCAAACATTCGAGGATTAAAATATTAAAAAATTATCAGATATATGTATTAAGACATCTGTACTCAAATATTGAACAATATTGCTCGCGAATTAAACTTTGCGCATTTCAACTTACTATTGAACGACAAAACCAATACTATTTGTGGATTCTACGTTACATAACTATCTACACAGATATTTTTGTTTCCCGTACGCGCACGTGCGCACAGATCAGTTGCTGGTGCTGCAGAAACAATCGTTGGCCGAGAACAAAACGGCGATCCCCAGAGTGCAGTCCATCGACGAGATGGAAAAGTTAACGGGGGCACTACGTAGAATGGACGCGGGCAAAACTGTGTTGGAGAATCCGAACGACTGTCTGTCCTGTGTCCGGATCACGAACAGGTGTTTACACGCCACCCACGCGTACACCGGAGTGCCGTGCGCCGCATACAGTGAGTACACACCCGTGCACCCGATGCCGAAACAACCGGGTGTGCAGAGCTGGGCTTATTTTAAGATTTTTTAAGAAGAAAACTTAAAACTCAACCCCTTCCTCAAACTCTCAAAAATATTACTCTCTGTGTATGATTATATACCCCGCTGCGGTAGTGCAATAATATTGTGATAATAAAATAATAGTAATAATAATAATAATAAGAATAATAATAACACAGTCTTAATAAACCTAATCTGATTATTGACGGACCCTCTACCTGGACTCGGCCATGAAGTCGGAAACTATTTATTTTTTATACTATTTATTATTTATCATTGTGAGAAATTTTATTTATAGATAGTATTTACAAATGCGCATTTTTTGAATTAGAGCTGGGCATTTTTCATTTAGAGTTACGCAAAATGTGTTCAAATGCACGTTAAAATAAGCCCTAGTACCATATTATGGGGCCTCAAAAGGTCAAATGCTCAAAAATGTACAGCCATAAGGGTCCTTGAGATTTCGATTTCCACACAGGCTTTGAGTAGTTCAGTACGCGCACCCCTCATTACATGCACGGCAGTGATCAAACAATAAGTGCCCGCACAGGTGAATTGCTATGTAGGATATGTCAAAATGGCGGGACACGAAAACACTCGTTTGGTGATCGGAATGCTTGGTAGGTGCCTCCAGATAATTTATTCAATCGCTAGACGAGTGTTATTGGCGTTCTCGCGGTTTTCTGTTGACTTTCTGCGACGCCCCACTAGTCCGCCGCGTGTCCAAACGTCCTCGAGCCAGGACATCAAGTGTCCGTGATTAGGTTAGGTTAACCTACCGGTCGAAAAACGCCTATTGTTGTACCGAACACGATCACGATCAACTTGGTACAGTGGAAAGCTGATTCGCTATGCGTGGAAAATGTAACGTTGTGTTGACCGTATAACATAATATTATGCAATTCAATATTTCGTCGAAAGGGAGAAGGGTAGGTAATGAAGACCATTTGTCTTTAGATCGAACCGATTGAAGGGATTTAAACGCTGAACTAATGCTTACCTCGTTCATTTCGAAGACTAGAGAATTCAAAAAAATTACGCGTACTTAAGTATGAGATGGAGGTATCGTGGGTAGTAGTTATTTTGTTTAATAAGGGCTGTTTCGAGAGTTAGAAATTTGTAGACAATTTTGCCCGTTTTTTCTGTTGACTATTGTCTTTGTAAAGAAGAAAAAAATAGACATTAAGGTACATACATCACTAAATGTAAAGCTATGTCATAAAAAAACGATAACATTAAACGAAGAAAAATAATCACAAGCATTCGAGCCAAAACTAAAATATTCCGATTTGTTCGTGGTTGAAGGGAAAATAACCCCCACTTCTTCCGGTGTAGGACTACAACTGTTTGTTCCCAACCTTCGTGTTAGGATATGAATTCGTCGAGAGTGTTTTGAAACAGCAAAATGTAACTAAATATAGTCAGTATATTTGTTAAATATAATAATATTTGCTAACTTAAAGTGTTGGATTCCGTTATTTTATGAAACAACAAAGTACCTATTTTATGAATTAGTTAGTATCAGTGGCTATTTTTTCTGATTTTCCGTAATGCACATATTTATGTTTGAGCTCAGTTAATCAATTATGGGCTAAATGATGAATTTTTTTTATTATTTAGAACGCGTATAACAACGATATTGTACATGTTTTATTCAATTTAACGCTCGAAGTGTTGAGACCAGGGAATGTATAAAATAACCAGTCAATATATAAATTATATGCATTACCTATACGTTTTAGTTTATTTTATAAATATCCTAGTTATTTCATACACTAAGCGGATTCAACACTTTTAATGTTATACACACACACACACACACACACGAACATACCTACACATATATATTATAACTGCTCTGCGCATAGAACACGAATAGGCCGTTGGAATTATAATAGTGTAATCCAGAGGCGACTTGTAAGCACCTTCTACCGGGGCGGTGCTCCGGTAAAATAATTTTTTATGTACGTTTTAGTTAAATTAATTAAAATGTATTAGGTAACCTTACCACTACAATTATGAGTATATTTATTGATATCTACTAGATCAACGTTAAAACACTTTTAATGTAAATTGAGCGTAGACAGAACAATTTTTTCGGGGTAGGCTTCGAATTGATCTGCTTCGGGAACATGTGAGTTTACGAACCGCCTCTGGTGCAACCGTAAAAGTCGCGGACGGCAGATTGCAGTCGCGATACCGCCGTGACCGGACCCGCTCGTTTTGCCGTTGCAGTACCGAAATTTCGATTGGACCACCATCGAATGCCCAAGCCTGTGGACGGCCACCGCCGTTTCCTGCCGGATATCCGACAGGACTTGCAGACGGGCGCCACGAAATGCCTGAGGAGCGTGGACCCGTCCCGGCCGATCACGCTGCAGCTGGGCAACGGGCCGTGCACGCAGGCGATCGACTTGCCCACCGACAAGCTGGACAAGAACAAACGGTACTTTGTGACGTTCACGATCAAAGGTGCGGCGGATGGTTCGCAGAGCAAGCACGCACGGCCGCCGCCCCCGCCGTTACGGGACGGCCAACGCGGCCCGGACGACTGCCGTCCCCCTTTGGCTCACACTCATGCTAAAAGCTTTTGAACGCTCTGACGTTCCAATATCGTTTGTTAGGTACACCGTTGATGTGTACTGTACCGTATCACATTATTACTGTGTCGTTATGTTATTACAATATTATATATCGTTGTGCCCTACCGTAGTTCATAGATGGATATTAAAGTTACGATAAACCGTTAAAAATGTAACACGGGTACTTCTGTACTCGTGCCCATAATATAAGCTAATAAAAACAGTGTTGAATGTTGAACAATATGCATTTTGTTATATCCAGTTACAAATAAATCACGCATCGGTTGTGGTTAGTAACGAGACAATAATTTTCACTGCGTGTTTATTTTGAATCTAATAGAGTTTTGCCTGTAAATTATTACTAATCCATAATAAAACATGTTATTACAGAAAAATTTTACTGTCTCGAATTGCGTATCATATAAGCTATATATCAATTAAAATGCAAAGCTGGGCATTAACGAGTTAAAAGTTAATAATTAATAACTTAATTAATAAATTAAGTTAAAACGTTAAGTTAATTTTAATTAAACTAATTAACTCGTATTAAGTTGATTAACTCGTGGAAGTACAGAATTGGTAAACTTCAAATAATTGCATAATATAATGATTCATAAATTTGTAAAAACTTCTATAAATATAATTAACTATTTTAAATGTACAGTTATTTTTATATTCTATAATAGGTATTTAAATTTGTTATACGAAAAGCTTAAAGCTTATACAAAATATTTAATTTTTTTAAGATATTAATTAAAGGTTTAACATTTGTTTTATTTTTATCTAAAAATATAATACAAAGTAATTATATTTTGACTGATAATAATTGTCCATGTTGTGCTGAGCCTAGTCTTTTGAACTACACGGTGACTGCATTTTGTCTACTCAGTATAGAAAATATATTTGGGGAGTAGGTACTGCCTGTTTGATTTTTAAAATTTGTGTGAATCAATTAAAAATATTGGTATCTTAGCAGTTAGAAGAAAACTATCAATGTTGTTTTTTTTTTTTTAATTATTGGTTGTACCACTTGGGTAAATTGATTTGAGTATAAGTTCAGGACTAAGATTTATTTTAGAAAAGTAGGTTTTTTTTATAGCTAGTTAATACTTTTATGTATCATTTTAAATTTCTCCTGTAATTTTCTTGAGCGTAAAAAACTAATATTGTGTGCAATTTTTTATTTTTACAAATTAGAAAATTTTAACTTTAAATTAAGTAAAAAAGTAACTTAACTTTAAATTAATTTAAGTTACTTTTTTCAAATTTAACTTTTAATTTAACGAGTTAACGAAAAAAATATAAGTAACTTTTAATTTAATTTAACTTTATCATTTTAAAATAACTTAACTATTTTAAAATAATTTTAAAAAATCGTTAACTTGCCCAGCCTTGTTAAAATGTATAGTGAATTATAAACAAAACTGTTACCAATCAAGTTTAATTTGTACTTTACGAAAAAATATTGAAATTACCCCATTAGGTTTTGAAAAAGTTCAATAAGAGTAAACAATTCTATAGATGATTTTAACAATTAAGTTTAAATAACTTATACAATTTGTAACCTTTCAGCCCCTTTTCTTTTTAGGGGGGCCTACTTTTACTCACTACCCAAGGGGAACACTCTGCTGATGACTCACAGGCCGAATCGTATATACCTGCAAAGGCGGGCGATTGAGCTCGTGGGTTTTTATTTACACAAGTTAAAATTTAAAAAATATAAGATTAAAAAAAAATTAAAAATAATATAATAATAATAATAGTTTTTTTTTTTACATGAAATAATAAATTTAATATATAAAAAAAAAAATTATGTAATTAAAAGAAAATAGTCGGCGAAACGGGAGAGGGGGAATGTATTGAATGATTTTTTGGTACTAAGCGGCTCTGCGAACGCTTACCGGAGTATTTCGGTTGCGTAATTTGTTATTTTTTTTCTTTTAAATCTTTTATAATGACAATAATAATAATAATTTTACGCAACCGAATTCTTTTTTGTTATTGATGATCCGAAAGGATCAGAAATACATTTTAAAAGGGAAAAAAGGAAATTTAATAGGGAAATTATTTTATGTTTTACGGTGTTGTTGAGGTGTAGCAGCTGGTGGTTCGGCATCCTTGTTGTTTCGTCCGCCATGGGCCATGTCCGTGAGCTTAGGCGGCCATGTGTGTGGTTTGAAAACTGGAATTGAAATATAAAGATCATAACGTTGTGGGAAATTCACAGAAAAATGACGTCTGTGCGGTTGGATGTTGGAGAGCAAAGAGAGATACGTCATCGTTGATATATATTTTCTAGCGATGAGAACTGCACATGGTTAAAGGGGGGAGGACTTACACAAGACGGTGTTTTCTGATTATATAGCATTAATAAATTAATGAGCTATCCGTTCATCGGACTCGGTAATGTGGACTATGACCGGGATGTTATGCATTTAGATAATATATTGATTAAGATATATATATATATATATATTAAAATTATGGGACGTTACAAATTTTAGAATTTTAGACTTATCATGCAAACTGAATGATGTAGGGATTGCATCTAATTAATAGGTACTGACTTATTTTTAATATTATACTGAAAAAAAGTATTTTTAACATTTATTGTTTAAGTTAAAATGTTTATATGCCTGGACATTTTATAGACTACAATAATATAATAAATACACTATCTCAATCAAAAAAAAATATAATAGATGGAAATTTATGGTGAAATAATTTGACTAATACATAGAACTTGTCTGATTACAAATTAAATTAATCTAATCATTTTTCTGTAAATTGAAAACATTTTTAAAAGCCATGAAGTTTTATAAATTTATCAATTAGTTTTATTATCAATATACGTCATAAAAATTATTATTATCATAAGTTATAAAATTACATTAATAAAATTGATGTATTTACATTTTTCAAAAATTTTAAAATATTTTTGACATTTTCCTGATATTTATACTTATTTAATACTAATAATCAGGGCTAGGATTTGTATGTAATAAAATATTGTAAAATATACGTTTTATTTATCAAAATATGCAAAATATGTATTTTAATTTTTATAAGATACAAACAAAAATATAATTACAAAAAAAAAATAAATATTGAAATACATCAGTGACTGTCTTAATATAATAGAGATTAAAAATTAAATATTATTTATTTTTCCCATGCATATTTATTGCATTAATATTTTAGAAATAAAATTTATAGTTTACATTCAATAGTGGAATTACGTATGTTACATGCTATGATCACATATTTTTTTAAATTGTCGAATATAAATTATTTGCGATTGGATAGTAGTATTGATTTATATTGGTTGAAGTTTCTTTCAATGTTACATGATGTAGTTAGCACATATTTAAAAAAAAAGGAATTTATCTTGGTCTTAAATTATAACTGATGTCATATCCTCGTTTGATTTGCCATTTAATACTTTATTTATTGATAATAGAGTTTCAAATCCTTTAAGATTGTATGTAATACACTATTACCCGACTAATTATGTTATTTCGGATTTTATATTGATACCAATATGCTTTTATTAATTGTGTTGTAATTATGTTTTTCTCCGCCAAACTATTCAATATTTTATTGCATATTGTACCATAGGATCGTATTTAAAAAATAAAATTTGTGTTTGGTGTTATGTACATACATATTATAATGTCATGGTCATACATTCTATCACATAATATTACAGATATATATATATATATATATATATATATAAATACTATATCGATCGCATTACAATAACACAATGATTCCACTATAGCGGGCATATGTATATGTAGAATTAAAACCGCACTCGTGGATAAATTAAATTATTTAATTAGTTCACATGATCATTATACGGGAAATTAAGATAATAAATGAATAATCGAAATGGCCACATCCTGTTTCTGTGTCAGTAATTAAGTACCAGACGAGAGATCTCACACACACGCAGAATCAATAAGGAATTATCATATTTTATTATCATTTTCATATACACACACACACACATACACTTGCATATATCAGATATAAAAGGGGGTCCCGAACAGGCCCTAATTCAGATGTGTTTTAGTCTTGTTAATGCACGCACCTTCACGTCAGTTTGTTTTATAAATTAATTATTTGGACTTAGAATAATTTTACAAATTGAATAAATTGGACTTAGAAATATTTCAATAAAGTTAATATTTTAAAGTCTCGAATTATTTATTTCAACATTATTATTATTCTACATTGATTACGAAGCTGAATAGTTGAGTGTACTCATTTCTCGTTGTACTGTCCGGTACCTATATACCGGCACGCAACATTGGCAAAAAAAAAAAACCAAGTTATATACTTTGATCAGTTTAACTATTACGGGCTCAAATACAATAAATAAATATGATCATACTAAATGTGCACACATATGAAAATTAAAAAAAATAGTACCATTTTCATCAGAATAATAAATATTGCGGACAGTACTCACTAAAACTCCATTTGAACATAGTAAAAATCCTAGTCATGCTAATAATAATACATATATTCTTTCACCATAAGTGAAAAAAAAAATGAACTTGAATGTTATAAACCCAGCAAATATTAGCAAATATTTGCAAGATTCACTGTATACAAATATATATTAAATTATTTTCAAGGAATAAAATAACAAATAAATTGAAAATCTAGTTTTCTCATTAAATTTAGTCTAAAAGAAGAAATTTTATGGAATGAAAAAATAATAGTCTCAACAATAATACAATATAAACTAAATTTATTTCTAATAAAATAAAATAACATTTTTACAATTTCTTTTTCAATTTATTAAATTTATAGTAATCAATAGTTATTGATAGAACTTTTATGTTGGCTATGAAGAACATTATCGATTCAACCCAGATTAATTGAAATGTATTAATACCTAAAAACTCTAAACAATAGGCAAACATTAGCCATCCAATTTGAGGTACTACCCAAATCAGTATCACATTTATAATTTCAATAACTGATAGATTTAAGAACGGATAACACATTGGCAAGAATGATACAAACCAAACAAAGTATTGAGATGTGATAACTGTGTTAAATGCTACTATAATAAATGAAAGACAAAACAGACAGAAAGGCAGGTCTTCAGTATGGGGAAATGTGAATGATATGGATACCAATAGAATAAATAGAGGCAGTTTTGAGGCTAAACTGTAAACTATTGATATTTTATCAAAACTAGATGATAAATAATTAAAGTAAAAATAAATAGAGAAATTATGACGTGCATCTACTCGCCGAGCATGGTATAAATACGATTCATCTAAGAACTGATGACCATAAAAGTAATACCAAGGCCAAGTTACAATAATCAATGTTAAAATAAATACAATAACAAATTGTATTTTTTTACGAGTAGGCAAGAAACGATAAAATATCATTTGTGTTGTTGAAGAATAATTATTTTTACCATCGATGGACAAATAGTATGCTAAGCCATATATAATAGGATAGATTCGTATGTGTACAGATATAGCAAAAAAAATTGCAGACAGAACGTAATAATTTTGCATATGGGCAAATAATGTTATAAGAACTATTAAGCATGAAATAGAATCAGCATTACCCCGAGTTGAAATAACAATACTTAAAGGATTGTATAACCATAGGTATGCACAGATATTACTAAAACCTGGATGAGATTTTGTGACTATTTTCCGTATAGTTATAGCAATAGCTAGATCAAATGAGGAAAATAAAAGCTTTCCCCAGCAACGGTTTAGTAAAATGTTTGGTATAAGTAAAGCAGCTATTAATGGAGAGTATCTGTAAGTTGGTCGTTTGTATGGTGAATCACCTTCTAATATATGTTGAGCTGCATCTGTGAAAACTTTGTAATCAATATCGGTATAATGAACACCAGTATCATCATTATCATACCATTGAGAGAAAAAAATCATAAATATTCTTATAAAAAGAGCAAACACGGTATGCCAAAAAAAATACATATTATTGTCACTAATAACAGCTACTAAATTTTGTATACTCCTAAATTTTAGTACTACACTTTAGCGCTTTAGAAGCCAGACACTTGCGAAACTTCATGAATTGAGTCTTACAAGAATCAGCTTTTAAATCTCTTTCGTGTTGTATTACACATGAGGCATATTCCAAGCCTTCCGAATGACAAGCAAACAAAAGCTCAGGATATCTTTTAAAACGTGATTTTGCTTTATTCACTGCTTCCATGGTTCTTTAATGTATTAAACTTTCGTGATCTAAAAATAAAATTAAATAAATAAAAATAAATATTTTTTTAAATAACTATTTTATAATTATTTATAGTAAAAGTGATGAAGTAATAAGATTATATAGTATATATATTGAATAAATAAAACAGTAAATTAAAAATATTTCAATAAAATTAAAAAAATCAAAGAAAAAATAAAAAAATGAATGGATGGATTTAAACTAGGTCAAATATTTTTTAATTAAAAATTTAATTTTTGTTGTTAAATAGTTACATGATTAAACTAATTCAAAAAAAATTAAATTCTACACAAATTATTCAATATTTTACTTATAATATGCGAAAACAAATATAAACTTATAAATAATAACACTTACAACTAGCAAATAAAATAAGACTATATAATCCAACAATAACAATTTTCAAATTGCTTTCATGTTGTACAATTAATGATTTAGTAGATTGATATAATTAACATGTAATGATGAAGTACTTCTGAATTTGTTTTATTATTTAATATTTAATGATATATTTTTCATTTAAAGATTTATTTTGAATCTGTTGTTATAATAATATAATAAAAATAAATATTGCATAAAATATTATTACTTACTCGATATCTTGTTGAAGTTTTAATTGTTTTATTTTTTCGAGATATAATTTTTTTTGTTTATCTTCAGGACTATTTGGTGCAAAAATATCATAAATTGCTTTACTAAACAATACTAAAAAGCCAAATGTACTTCCAACAGCAACAAATGTTCTAGGATATCGTCTATAGAATGGTAAATCTTTTAATATTTTTCTATCAGCAAAAGTTTGATAATTTTGCCGTTCATTCATTGGTGTTTCAGACATATTAATTCTGATAATTAAATAAATAATCATAAAAAAAAAGAAAAATATTTAAGAGTTAATAAGAATTATAAACTTTTAAATATTAAATTATTACTTAATAATTCATCTTTTAAAAATAAAATACACATTTATTTTAATTAAACATTGTTTGTTGAAATTAATTCACTTCCGTATTAAAAAGGTTATATTCTACAAACTAATTCTATGTTATTCTGTTAAAAATTTCTAGATATACCTTATTTTGATTTTCTTTAGTAGATTTAGGCTTCATACCAGAACATACAAGTGAAAATTCATGAAATTTTCTACAACATTCACGTAAATTATCTATTTGTTTGATACAACGAGACTCTTGAAAATCATTCTCTGAAATTAAAAAAAAAAATATTATAAATTTATTTCAAGAATACATTGGTAATGATAAAATATAATAAAAAATACTAAACAGATAACAATTTTATATGAAAGAAATCACACTGTATAAATGATTCATAAAAGGGTAGAACAATAATATTGATTGAACTATTTCAGACTATTGATAAACAAAGTTTAAATGTTCAAACAATTAATTTTGCTAAACAATCTGAAGTAAGCAATCGACTTTAATCGTCAATGGGGTGAAAATGAAAGACGTTGATCAAAGAATGGGGTTAAGTAATTAGATAAGTGTTGAAGGAGTACACATTACAGATACAGTCAATTTTTCTGAAGTATGATATTGTTTCCTGACAAATGTTGACACATAGCGATGTGGAGATCAAGTAGATCGATGAAAAATAATAGAATTAAACAATACTCCATGCCCATTGATATGGGGATATGATTCCACATGAAACGGAAAATCCGTCGAGAACATTTTTGTTCTTCCTGCAAACAGTGATAAAATTTATGTAAGACTTACCTGACAAACATTTTTGGATAGTGCAAGCTAGCTTTTTACATGGATCGGCCTTAGGCATGAATCGTAATTGTCCGTGTTTGGAGATAGCTGCGAAACGTATTGTGGAATCGACCGTAAAAAACCAATGTTAGCGAAAACACTGAAATCGAAAGTGCAGCAGTCACGGTAAAACGGCGTTATCTTTACCGTCGCATTTCCAACGATTTATCAGCCGCGGCTCACGCGGTTTTTGATGGGTGATGACGATAACACCTGACCGTGTTATCACATTAGACATCGGTTACATGTGTGATAATACTATCTACGGCCGTGCGTGTGATAAACAGCAGACTGAGCTCGACATTAGTTCGACGTTTCTGAAACGTCATACCGCAGCTCCACTGATCGCAAATAGCCGTGTCGCGATAAACTTGTTGGTGACTCTTGCCGCGATCGTTTGTGTCAACACCTTTGCCCGCAAGCGTCGGTTGTTGTCGCAGTCGATATCCGGTGCATGCCCGACGTCTGATCATGATGCAATGCGCCAAAAGGTTCGCCGTCGCGTTTGTGCACCGGAATCGTTGGGAAAACATATGTGCCGAGTCCGCGAAAACCTGTCGGTGGTCGGCCGCCAGGGTGATACATACGTCGAGTGCTACCCTCGAGTTCCACGAGTACGACAAACGAAGTGGCTACGACACGGGACTCGATTACGCCGAAACTCGGACCGAGAGAATTCGTTTGGCGCTCAAACAGCTCAAAAAAGAAATCGTACTTTGGAAAAACGAGATGAAGGAAATGCTGGAAGCCGATCCCATTCTTGATTACCGAGCAGGTACTCATTGAACTGCGCATGTGTGTATGCTTATTTTTTAATCTTATTTTTTATTGCTACTTTAATGTCTGTATACTGAATAGTTGAACATGTTTTGCTGATGATATTCTTTAAGGTGAAGTTGATATTTTTTGGAGATTTCACGACCACTCTTCATTAGACAAATGGATCGTGAATTGTGATAGCGATCATGCTTTGGGTTTTAGTAAATGTGATTTAAAAATCAGTTCCCAGGGTTATGGTCTTTTTTCTGGAAACCTGTGTTCTCAAGTGCCTAAAGATGGAAAGATTCAAAATTCTGGTTACTGCAATATACTAACTAAACGTGTCGCTGTAAGTTTTTTTTAACATTTATTCAGAAAATGTTCTTAAAAATTAACTATTGCTTATATTTGAAATTATTATGTGTACATTTTAGAAATCATTTATGCGAGATAGTTATTTGGATTGGACTGCTTATACTCATCTCAATTTACGAGTAAGAGGTGATGGAAGAAGTTATTTATTAAATATTCATGTTTCGGGACAGTTTGATATCACGTGGAATGATGTATTCACGTTTATACTATATACTAGAGGTGGACCATATTGGCAATCAGTTAGAGTAAGTAATAGTAATAGAGCTTTTGGTTTTTCAAATATATTTTTTTATATTATAAATGTTCTCCAATAGGTAATACAAAAAATGGAAAATACAAGTTTATAAATTTATAAATAATCATAGTTTAAGATTTATAAAATCATTCATAGTTAAAAATATTTAATGAAACTATTGTAAAATAATTTCATAAAAAAAGTATAAAAATAAGAAATTATCAACAACAAAACATTTTAAAATCTATATTTATTTTTAATTATTCAATTTTCAAATATATACTAGTAAAGAGTTTTGTATTCAAATACTAAATATACTCTTTGAAACTTGATTAGACATGATTATATTATTTAAATGCTACAGTATAAGTACTCCATTCCTTTTAAATATGTGTGTAAAATAATTAAAGTGGTATAATTTTTTTTTCAGATACCATTTTCAAAGTTCTTTTTTGCTAGTAAAGGACGAATACAAGATAGACAATCACCTTTGCCATTACACAAAATTAGCCATTTTGGAATTACTGTATCTGACAAAGCTGATGGTCCTTTTCAATTAGAAATTGATTATATTGGAGCGGATTTTGATCCTAACCACCATGAAGAAACGGCCTACGAAATGTATGAAGTTAAACAAAATTATATTATTGGAACATAAACCAAAATTTGTTTTAGTATTACATTAAAGATTATTTATGTTTATGTAAATGTATTTATAAATTAATACTTGTATATCTATTAAAATTTAAATTAAATTTTATAAAAATTATAAATAAATGTTAAATTTACATTTTTCCATTTTTTCTCATTTTAAGATTTAGAGCATGCATATGAAAATAATATTTTTTTTTGTTTTTAATATTAATTCTATGCATTAATGACACCTTCTTGATTTGGCTCAAGTTTACTTTACTAGTTCATCATTAGAATTATAAATATTAAATTTAAATATAAAATATTTGAATAGCTTTGACTTATATTTTTAGTGTTCTTAAGTTTTGCCATGATATGGCTACACATATATGATGGATAAAACTTTTAAATTTAATAACTTAATGTCACATTAGACTCTGAATTTGAGTTATTATTTTATGTAATCTTTATGCAGATGTCAGATATAGAAAATTCTTTAAAATGATATGGTTTCGTACTCTAAATAACTATATAAGTTGTAATAAAAATGCTTCTTGTTTATGTAGCTCTTATGTATAATTAATTTTTTTGGTAGTTAATCAGTTAACTATTGCTCAGAAAATATTCTCCTGCCACTCGTGTTTAGTAATTTCTGTAACTATTATCAATATTTAAAATATCATATAAACTATTATGTTTGATAATAATATAGTATAATTGTGGCACTTAAATGGTTTTTTACCAAAACCTCAATAAAAAAAATAAATATTATTTATGTAAAATTTAAAATAAATAAGTACAATAGTTTGGTTATAAGATAATTAAAACTGAGATAATTTTATTATTTTTTCACATATTGAATATTTTAAGAATAATGTTTGATTTGATTCTAATGGTATTTAGTTAAAATCATTTCGAACAGAAAAAAATATGTGAAAACCATTAATTTCTATGTATATTTAATTAAGTTAAATTTTATTTTTTAGTTTTTTAGTTTTACCTGTATAAAATAGGACGTATCGACATTCGAATGTTAAGATAATCAGTAGGTACTGAGTTTTGGTACGGGATCTTACCTGTCAATCACGTACGACACGTATCTATGTGTTAATACGCATATTTCAAAAGTGTGCTGGGGCACATCCAAGGTTGCAGAGGGATGTATTTAGGGAATTTTGTGGAGTTACAATATATAATGTATATAAATAAAATGCCCGAGATGCCTTTAATAAATGACAAGTATATTTTTTTAAATTAATTTTATTAGACTATATATGAGAAATTTTGTTCTTTTACATTTTTTATTAAGTCAATAATATCACGTTTTTTTTATCCAACTCGCATTAAAAAATGCTACATCGTTAGATGCGCTGTGAATGCGATAATTTTGCGATAGTTTATTATATATGAGAGATTTTGTTATTAAGTCAATAATATTACTGTTTACGCACTTACTTGTAATGTGAGTCTACACTCTACGCCAGTGATCTTAAACTCAAATTACCTACGGGCCATATATTTTTTTCAAAAAAAATTAGCGGGCCAAATTTTAAGTGTCATTTTTGTACTTATACACTAGAAACTAAAGACAAAATGAAGCCAAAAATACATACAAAATCCATTTATTTACCTATTATTACTACAAAATTATCATTGAAAAAATATAATGAACATTAACTTAAAAAAAAATTTTAATTTGAATTTAAAAATAGCTTGAATATTTGATAATTTTTATTTTTGGGCTGCACTTGAAACTTGTCATTTTTTCTTTTGTACCAATTCGTCTATATTCGCGCAAGAATTTCTTGATGCCAAACGTAAAACAGATTGTAGTTTGACATTTGAAATTTGATTCCGACTTTTTGATTTATTTAATTTCATGAGAGAAAATAATTGTTCACATACATAAGAGCTACCAAACATGGATAAAATGTTAGAAAAGTGTTTCTTTAGTTTTGGAAAACTGTTTCCAAGATGTTTAAAAATTTCTGGAACTCCTACAGTTTCAAATTTTGATTTTAAAACAGAATTACATTGCAAATCAATTAACTCGAGTTGTAAATCTTCCTTCACATGTTCTACATTTATAGAAAATGGCTCACTAAAAAGTAGAAAATCATCTTTATACTTTTGAAAATCTGCAAATCTGTTCATAAATTCATTTTTTAGTAATAAAATGTGTGAAATGTATTTTTTACCATCATTACCATCTGTGGATAACTGTTTTAATGTAAAAAAGTGTACTAAGGTATTTAATGAAAGTTGAGTTTCCCATAACCGCAATTTCATCGTAAATGAATTAATTGAGTCATACATATTTGTGATAACTTTTTTTTCCTTGCAATTGTAGGTTGAGAATATTCAAATGTGCAGTAATATCAACAAGGAAAGCTAAATCTTTAATCCAATCATTATTAGTTAATTCTGGAACAATCTTGTTTTTAGATTTCATAAAACAGTCTATTTCTTTTAATAAATTGAAAAATCTTTGTAGAACTGCTCCACGACAACCATCTTATCTCACTGTAATATAGTAAACAACCATACTGAGCATCCATTTCATCGAGTAGTGTACTAAATTGTCTATGATTCAATGCACGGGATCTAATCCAATTCACTGTTTTAATAACTATATCCATAACATGTTCCATTTTAATTTTTTTTGAACATAAAGATTCTTGGTAGATTATACAATGAAGACTTTTTATTTCTACGCCATAAGTCATACCTTTTGATTTTAATTGAGAAATCAATCCTGCTTTTACACCTAACATTGCGGGAGCTCCATCAGTAGTAACACTCGAAAAATTATTCCAATCTACTTCTAATTCATTAAGACACTTTTCAACACAGTCATATAAATCACTACCGGTTGTTGTGTCAGTCATAGGAATCAAGTCCAAGAGTTCTTCAGTTACTTCAAAATTATCGAAAACTCCGCGAATAAAAATAGCTAACTGAGCGGTATTGGTAATATTGGTACTTTCGTCAATAGCAATAGAAAAATTTAAAAATTGTTTATTTTTTCATGCAATTGTTGTTTAACATTGTTGGTCATTTCTTCAATTCTCTGAGCAATAGTATTTCCACTTCAACTTATATTCATAAATGCTTGTTTCTTTTCGGGACATATTAATTCCACCGCACTAACTATACAATCTTTAATAAATTCACCGTCAGAAAAAAGTTTTGACGCGCGTTCGATTTTTTCTGATATAACGTAACTATATTTAACCGAATCAATATTTTCTCTTCTTATGCTATCAAATAATTTTGTTTGTTTTAAAAAATTTTTTTTTAATTCTTCAAATTTTTCTTCGCGTAATTTTTCTACAAATTTATCGTAAATCTTACCATGATTTGTGACATAATGTCTTTTAATATTGTACTCCTTGATGACAGATACGCTTTGTTTACAGATCAAACATATTGGAAGAGAATTAGAATAAGTAAAAAAATAAGCATGGCCCCATTATTCTTGAAAAGCCCGTCTTTCTTGGTAAATTTTACGTTTCATCGGTTTGATATGAGACATTACAACAAACAAATTACGCGTATCAACTTAAATTTAAAATTCAACTTGAATAGCAATTAGTTACTCGTACGAACAAAACAACACTGATCACAGTCAAGCTGTTAATCTGTTACCCACTATTACACCGAAGTACAAATTATATTTATCTTTGTAGATAAGATTTGATTTTATCGAGTATAATGGGATTTCCGAACAAATAAATAAAACACGAACGTTAGATAATATTATTACTTCATATTTTATTAATAATTTCAATTTTAACAATTCTTTTTATATTTTTGTTCAAAATGTATTTTTATTGCGGGCCCCATAGAAAGGGTTCACGGGCCACTTGTGGCCCTCGGGCCGTATGTTGGAGACGACTGCTCTACGCTGTACGGCGTTGCGTCGACCGTCGACCCTTCTTATTTGTTTCCACGATTTCCCGTCCATTGTATTTGTGAATTTTAATTAATATGTTTATTTATTATATGTTATCGTAATATTCTCGTCAACTTATCCACACTTTGTTCTTATTGTTTAAATTATTATAATTATTATCTTTTACTATTTTACTTTTTGTTTACTTTTAGCGGCCGACGGCCTTATTAATTTTATTTGAATTTTGTCTGTCGTTCTCCGTTTGCTATTAAAGCAACATACTTTTTCTCTCGTCTGCTATTATAACAGCGATTTTAGTTATATTTAACATGGTTTTTTTTTTTGTTAATCTTCGCCATTGCGGTGGGATATATTATACTTCTTCGCCATTAAGGCAACATTTTTTTTATTATTATTATTATTATTGTCGCCGATGTGGCTCAAAGTTTATTAAGTTTAAATTGTGAGTAATAATAATAGATTATTTTCACCAATACAAAAACATCAATAAAAAAAGATCTCATCTTTATCTTCGTCGTTGTGAATTATTATTGTCTGCGTGTACACCCTCTACAAATTATCGTGAGTTCTATTCAGTAAACTTTAGTAACTGCTGTGCCACTGATCACTTGACGTTCGGATCACCATATCGTCCATCGTCAAAACGTAAGACCGCCAGCGTCCGGTGTGGCGTGTGAGAGGCCGTCCAGGTCGTCTAGTTACCAATCATCGTAAATTGTAGTTACCGTTTTTATCATCGTTGACCATATATTTACATTGTGAATTGAGTGTTTAGGTTTAAGGTATTTGTCCGATTTGTGTGAACTCTACTGGTCATTGCACCAGACCGAATCGACCAGTAGAGCATCCCCCCTATAACTAGCCTCTTATTCCTATTTCCCTTGTCTAGAATAATAACGAGATCCATTCCTTCGATGTCGTTGCCGCCGTTAGCGTCGCTGTAGCAACACAGCCGCCCGCTATTACCGCGGAGTCCATTGGGTTGCCCATTAAGTTGCCTACACACGACACCGCAAAAATAATCAATAGATTAGTTTCTTGATTTAATTTTAATTTATAAAATTACGTAACAAACACTTTTATTTTTTATCCACTTCACATTGACAAATGTTACATCGTTAGATGCGCT